ATGAATCTACAATTATCTCAACAAAAATTTCAGTGAAAAAGTGATGTTGAGATGGCTCATAAGCCTACATGTAAATTTTAAATAACTCCTTTTATTATAATTAAAAAATAACTTCATGGGACTAGGCGGATTCCTTAGGAAAAGATCTCTTAGGGCAAAGAAGACAATAAACAATTAAAAAGTCTTAAATCTCCTCAAAAATTTAAAATTTATGATCATTAAATCCAATTTGGTAACAGCATCAGTCTGGCAGCTAGGGTCACAGTGTGAAGAATTCTACACCTGCTACTTCATCACTTTGGTTGCAAAGTTACCAGGCTGATTGAGGAAAATTAATCAGAGAGCTCCATCTGGGGGCAGGGGAGGGAGCAGCCACTGTGATCCTTGACTGGGAAACTGCCTTTAGAAGGTGATACTTTTAACAATACCAATAATGGCTTTGCTGTCAAGAAAATTTAAAGGACATTGTCTCTCTTCACAACATCCCCCAATGGGAGGTGTTATACTCCTTCTTTTAAAGACAAAGAAACCAAGGCTGAGGAAGCTGAAGTGACTTACCCAAGCTCATACGGGCAGTAGGTGGCAGGTTCAGGGCCCAACCCAAGACTATGAGACTCAAAAGTTCCCAGTTCGAAGACATCTGGCTGCCTTCCTCAGAGCAGCTTACAGTAAGGACATGCTGGTAATCATGGAAAAAGAAAACAATATCTGGGAGCAGAGATATTTGTCAGCCTAGACAAAAAATGTAAATTCTTGTCTAACATGGAAAACTGGAAGTTGTCTGGGGAAAATTTTTGCTGTGGTTTGTGATTTGCTCTTAAAGCAAGTAGGTTCATTCTTCTTTTACACAGTCACATCACAGTTCTGAAATGTTTTAATAGAGAAAATGCTCCTGGTGTTCAATCGGGATCACAGAAAGGGTTTCCCTTGAGGAAACCACCACCTTGTGGCAATGGGCATAACTTGCAGGACCAATAAAGGTTTCTGTTTGTTTCCTGTCTTTCATACTCCAAAACGCAGTGGTAACACTTAAAGTTGGAAATTTTTGCGTTAAACAAAACAAGCCAGAAAAGTGCCTTCCTTAGGACAGGCTTAAATAGAAGAGATATCAATGAAAAAGATAGCTTTTGAGCAAAGCAATCAAATTACTGACCCATGCTATAAAATATGAAAAAGATGGAAATTTCTTTAAAACAAGATACTAAAAGTTGGGGTGATCCATTTGGAGAAAAAATTGAAGAGGTTTCATGTTGTCTGAACTGTACACTTTTGAAAGTAAAAAGGGCCGCTATTAATAATTACAGAGGACAGCAGGTATAAGGTCAGGGTGTGAAGACACATGGCTCCCCTAAATTGTTTGTGTGGTTTAGCCTGACAAAGTTGTGACCACATTTTATAGAGACTGTGTGGTAAGAAATCTAACCCTTTTAAAGTGAATAAAAAGTCTTTATTTCTCAGTGTGCTGGAAGGAGGAGTTTCACAACTGATCTGAATTTTATTTTTGGAACTAAGATCTAAAGGAGATTTCAAATTATTAAAGAGCTTGAGTAACCACCATCATGTAGCAAAAACAAACAAACAAACAAAAACAAGTCATCACTTGCACCTAGTAAACCCAGTTTGTAATGTTGTGTTTTACAAATACAATTGTATAGATATGACACAGACTAGTCACTCACCTATTGAAGGATATCTTGGTTGCTTTTAGTTTTTGGTGATTATGAATACAGTTGCTATAAATATTTATGTGCAGGTTTTTGTGTCCACCTAAATTTTCAAATCAGTTGAGTAAGTATGTGTGTGTGCTAAGTCACTTCAGTCGTGTCCAACTCTGGGACTCTACGGATTGCAGCCCGCCAGGCTCCTTTGCTCATGGGATTCTCCAGGCAAGAATACTGGAGTGGGTGGCATGCCCTGCCCCAGGGGATCTTCCTGACCCAGGGATCTAACCCGTGTCTCTTTTGTCTCCTGCACTAGCAGGTAGGTTCTTTACCACTAGCGCCACCTGGGAAGCCCTGAGTAAGTATAAAGGAGTTGGTTGCTCAGTTGTGTCCTACTCTTTGCGACCCCATGGACTGTAGCCCTCCAGGCTCCTCTGTCTATGGAATCCTCCACGCAAGAAAACTGGAGTGGGTTACCATTTCCCTCTCCAGGGGATCTTCCCAACCCACAGATCAAACCAGGGTCTCCTGCATTAGAGGCAGATTCTTAACGGTCTAAGCCACCAGGGAAGCCAGTTTTAAAGTACATCTAATTTTTCTGTCGTGGTTCATTCTTTTCATGTTGTATCTAAAATTATTGCCAAACCCAAGATCACCTAGATTTTGCCTATGTTTTCTTCTAGAAATTTTATGATTTTCTATTTTATATTTATGTCTGTGATTAATTTTGAGTCAATTTTTGTGAAAAATGTAGTCTGTGTCCAATTTTTTTTTTTTTGCAAATGGATGTCTGATTATTCCAGCACCAGTTTTAGAAAAGACTTATCTTTCTACATTGACTTTCATTTGCTCCCTTGTCCAAGATTGCTTGACTACATTTGTATAGGTCTGTTTCTACACTTTTTATTTTATTCCATTAATGTATGTATCTATCCTTTCACTAAAATATTGTCTTACTTATTGTGACTTAATGATAAGTCTTGTAGTCTTGTTATATCAGTTCTCCAACTTTGTTAATCTTCATTGTTGTATTGACTATCTGGATCTCTTATCTTTTCATATAAACTCTAGAATTAGTTTGTTGATATCCACAAAATAGCTTGCTGATGTTTTTATTGGAATTGTGTTTAATCCATAGATCACATCTCAACAATATTGATTCTTCCTATCCACAAACATCCTATCCTAGACAGCATATTAAAAAGCAGAGACATTAGTTTGCCAACAAACATCCATCTAGTCAAAGCTACGGTTTTTCTAGTAGTTGTGTATGGATGTGAGAGTTGGACTATAAAGAAAGCTGAGTGCTGAGGAATTGATGCTTTTGAACTGTGGTGTTGGAGAAGACTCTTGAGAGTAACTTGGACTGCAAAAGATCCAACAAATCCATCCCAAAGGAAATCATTCCTGAATATTCATTGGAAGGACTGATGTTGAAGCTGAAACTCCAGTACTTTGGCCACCTGATGTGAAGAGCTGACTCATTTGAAAAGACCCTGATGCTGGGAAAGATTGAAGGTGGGAGGAAAAGGGAACGACAGAGGATGAGATGGTTGGATGCCATCACCAACTCAATGGACATGAGTTTGAGTTGGTGATGTACAAGGAAGCCTGTCATGCTGCAGTCCATGGGGTTGCCAAGAGTTGGACATGACTGAGCGACTAAACTGAACTGACCATGTTGTTATTCAGTTCAACTATATTCATTCTCAACTGCCTGCTGGATCTACTCATTCCTAAAGATATGGTGTTAAAGTCTTCAATTATAATAGTAGTGGTGGTTTAGTTGCTAAATCATGTCCAACTCTTGTGACCCCATGGACAGAGGAACCTGGCAGGCCACAGTCCATGGGATTCTCCAGGTAAGAATGCTGGAATGGGTTGCCATTTCCTCCTCCAGGGGATCTTCCCAACCCAGGAATCAAACCTGGGTCTCCTGCATTGTAGGTGGATTCTTTACCAACTGAGCTACAAGGGAAGCCTTCAATTTGGGTTTATCTATTTTTTTTTTGCAGTTTAGTCAGTTTTTGCCTCAGGGATTTGGATGCTTTGCTGTTAGGTGCATACACAAGTATTGTTATGTCTTTCTGGAGAACTGATCCCTTTAGCATTATGTAATACCATCTCTTTATCCCTGATAAACTTCCTTGCTCTGAAATCTGCTTTGCTTGAAATTAGTATAGTGACTCCAGCTTTCTTTTGATTACTGTAGCATGGCGTAGTTTCTCCACCCTTTTACTTCTAACTGTCTTTAAAAACAAACAAGCAAAAAACCCTTTTAAACCTGTGCTTTATATTTAAAGTGGATTTCCTGAAGACAACATATAGTTGGGCCTTGTTTTTTTAATCTCCTGGCAATTTCTTTTTATTGGTGTAGATCATTCACACCATGTTTATAATTGTTTCTATTTTCTCCACTTGACTTTCATACTTAATTTTGAATTTGTAATTTTGTATTCTTTATCTTGAAGGAAACCTCTTCAGATCTGTCAAAACCTGGGAGCCACCCCTGCCCAGCATGTATTCAGTAACAATAGAAAAGCTGCATGCCAGTCCTGGTGGGACTGAAGGGAAGCAGGAATGGAGGATGCAGCTCTACAGTACATGATGCACCAGATCTGTGCTTGGTGGGTGCAAAAGAACCAGACAGGACAAACTCTTCAGACAGTGAAAGTGTTTCTGCAGTCCAGTCCTGACAGCAAGAGGCAGGCCAACCTCCTGCCTTTGAGCTAGTCCAGAGTGGGCGTGGCTTACGTGTACTCGGGTTCATTTCTTGGCCGCCTTAATACCACCCCCCCCCAACCCCCCCCCCCCCGCGCGCGCGCAGTGTTGCCATGACAACCGTGGCTGGGTAGCTGCAAACTCTGTTGGAAACTTGCTGCAGGTTGAGGACCCGGTACCTGTTTGCAGGGGCAGTTTCCCAGGAATAAATGGGAACAGTAGGGATGGCAGGGTTCTGTAGGTTTTTTCCGTCCAAATTCCTTGGCAGGCGTTTAGGGGCCTGATGGGCTGCGTGGCCCGGCGCACCTACTCGGGCCTCCGAGCCCGCCCCTCCGCCAGCTCCCGGCGGGGAAGCGACTCCGCTTGTCCACAGAAAACCTTCTGGCGAGCCAAGAGCCCTCGGGCTTAAGATCAGCTTTCCCCGTGGGGTGTTCATTTTGGATCACTGCGTTTATTTGCTGCCATTCATAATTAACTTGAAGGAGCGGAGATGGGGAGGTGGGCTTTCTATCTGAAGGAGGCTCTAAGCTTGCAGATCTACTCAATGTTTTGTCGTGAGGCTGCGGCCAGAATGACCTGAACCCTCAATAACAGAGCTTCTGTTTTATTTGTAGAGCCATGGGCAGCAAGAAAAAAGAAATTGCCCTGCAGGTAAGTCTCAAGGCGAAGTTGGCTTCCAGCAGTTGATTGGGGTGGAATAGAGGGCGGGGAGGATAGTCTGGAATGGGAAGTACAGTATAAAAATGACTTCCCTGGTGGTCCAGTGGTCGACTCTGTGCTTCCATTGCAGGGGGTACGGGTTCTATCCCTGGTGGGGGAACTAAGATCCCATAAGCTGCACAGTGTGAGCAAAAAATAAAAATTAAAATGTACTATTAAAAATGTAGCATATAACAGTATTCACAAACTTGAATATTGTACCCTTCTGCCTTAAAGGAATAAAAGCTTATCTTGACCTCTAGTAATGACGATGTTTTGTGTGTGCACTTAAATATAAACAGGATGAGGGGGTGGCAACCCACTCCAGTATTCTTGCCTGGAGAATCCCATGGACAGAGGAGCTTGGCGGGCTATAGTCCCTAGGATTGCACAGAGTCGGACACAACTGAAGCAACTTATGCATGCAAATATAAACATATAATCATAAACTTGGATAAAAGCTGCTTATGTTTATAATGCTTATGCAACCATGAAACTGAAACATGAATTAAAATAAAACAAAAAATAGCAAGAAAATATGAATCAGTATAATTCGATCTGACATATATTTTGTTGAGGTATAGTTATGACTTGCTGAGAGAATACGTTATAAGTTCTTAGAGTCTGGGCATATGTCTGTAACTGTGCCCTCTCTGAAGACCCACTTCTCCCATCACTGTTTTCTTAAAATCATTTGCTTATTCAAAAAATGTTTTGATATTTTATGCACTACACTTTCCTTATAGAGTGCTTTACTTTGTTTGCAGCTGTGACAAGTGAATTAATAAGACAATAACTACTTATTGTCCTGGCCCTGGACAATAAGTACTGGTTGATTCTAAAGTGATGGTTTAAAAAAAAAAAAAAAAGCAGGCATGGAAGGGGATGGATGCAGGATGGAGGGCTTTATCATCATAATGTAATGTGGGTGCCTTTTAAAATAAACTTTAAAATTTTTCATGGTCAGGCCCTAAGCACCTCTCAGGAGATGGGCAGTGGTCTCCAGTCATCTGATTTCTCCTTTATTGTTCTCTGTGGCATCAGCACTTTACATGTGAATTTGCATGTGATTTTTAAAAAGAAGAAAGCAATATCAAGCTAATTATAGTGTGCAGGGGGCTGGATGGGCAGGGAAGGGAAGAGTTTTGGTCTGGAAGTCAAAGATTTGATGCAGTTCTTGACTCTTCTGGGACTTCGGATAAATCACCTAACTGCTCTGAGATAGAGCTTGCACATCTGTGGAAGGACAGCATTGGGTGAATTATCTCTAAGGGCCTTCCAGCACTGAGATTTTAGTACTCTAGAATTATGAGGCTTTTTCTGTGTCTGTAAATCAATTCTAAGCACCTGGTCCTATCATTTATTGATGTGAACAATTTCCTCAACCTCTCTGAGCCTCCTTGTTCTTTGTGTAAACAGGAGGGATGATACATACCTGGCAGAGCTGTGATGAGACTCTTTTAGATATGTCCAGGCTTGTGGCTCTAAACGTTTTGCCCCATATGATTGTCTCTTCATGTGTCTATGTCTGATATTCCCTTGGAGAGTAATAACATTTGTTATAATTTTTTTTCATGCATATTCCCTAGAGCTCTGAGTTCATTGTGGTGCTCAAAGGAAGTACTCCCTTTTGCTGAGGCAGGGGGTGGGGGGTCGCTATGCAGTGAGGCCTCTGTGTAAGCATTGCTTCTCTACCAGGTCAATTCCTTGAAAACAGTGTTCTAGGGTCCGCCAACCAGGAACCTTGTCCTCTCTCTATGTAACACTATTTGGGTTCCTCAGTTGACCCAATATTCCCAGCAATATAACTCCTAGGTATTTACTTACTGAAGACAAATGAAAGGGTGAATGCAAAAGATTTAACAAGAATGTTCCTAAGTCTTTATTCATAAGAGCTCCAAATCATCTATCAAGCAGAATGTGATGTTGTCATACAATGGAACGTGCTCAAGAATAAAAGTGAACAAAGTACTGAGATACAATTACACAGATGAATGCCCAAAATAGCTGAGCAAAAGAGACCAGCACAAAACAAGACATGCTGTACTATTTCATTTATATGAAGTTTTAGAATCAGTAAAATTAAGTTGTTATGACAGAAAGCAGGTTACTGTTTACCTGGGGAGAGGAGTAGGGAGTGACCGGGAGGAGACCAGAGGGAACTTTCTGGGGAGATGGAATGTTCTGTATTGTGATAGAAGTGTGGTTACCTGGGTACATGCATTTGTTAAAACTCACTCATGTGTAACAGTTTCGTTCTGTATGTCTCACTGTATATAATTTATTCCTCCATACAATATAAAAAGACAAAAAAGCAAAAGCAAATGAGTACCTCCCTGTACATAAATTCAGATAAATGTCAAAGTTTAATGTTGAGTAAAAACACAAATTGCAAAAGGAGATCTTCAATATGATACTGTTTATGCCTATTTATGTACACAAAACAATTTTATATATTGTTTTGGCAAAGTAACAAGTAAAAATGATTTTTTTAATTAAAAAAATTTTTAAATTTTTGTCTGTGCTAAGTCTTCATTGTGGCATGCAGACTTTTCTCTAGTTGCTGCCCATGGGAGGCTACTCCAGTTACAGAGCATGGGCTCCAGAGGGCATGGTCTCAGCAGTTGCCTCCCGTGGGCCTCTCTAGTTGTGGTGTCTGGGCTTAATTACTCCGAGGCATGTGGGATCTTAGTTTCCTGATCAGGGATCAAAGCCATGTCTCCTGCAGTGGAAGGCGAATTCTTAACTACTGGAGCACCAAGGAAGTCCCAACAATTTTTTAAATGAGATTTTCTTGGAGGCAGGAGGAGAGAGAGGAGAAAAGAAGACTGGGCAAAGAGGGCAGCTTTAGCTGTATTTGTAAGTATTTCATTGAGAAAGAGATGGAGAGAGAAGAGAGAGGCCTGATTGATAGACATTAGTAGATAACCTAGAGCAAATGCACCAAATTGCCTCCCCATTGGTACCTTCAGTAATACAGCATTTGTTCTTCTCTGATGCTAGGTCAACATCAGCACCCAAGAACTCTGGGAGGAAATGCTCAGTTCCAAAGGACTAACTGGTAATTTAAGATGATTTTTTAGACTCATTCTTTTCAAAATTCCTAAATGGCATATTGACCCATGGAGGGAAAACCTGCAAAGAGCATCATTTCCCTATAACCTTGAGTTTCATAAATAAAGAAGAAGGCAATTCTTTTGTATATATATATACATATCTGGTTTCAACATCCGTTAGTCCAATTCAGGAAACTAGTCAGTACTGCCAGATAGCAGGGTTCCCTTGTTTTAGAGCTGATTGTCATGCTCAGGGCATATTTGGTATTAAGGAACAGAAACCTCTTCTAATTACTTGAGGCACAAAAGGGGAAGGTATTGAAGGGAATAGGGGATCTCTTGGAACTCAAGGGCTGGAAGGAGAGCCAGGTAGCCCAAGAGAGTAGAACCAGGGGCTGCACAGTCACTAGGAAAGAGCACAGCCTCCTGGTCCCCTACCCTCCTTGAATCAATATCTATTGCTGAGTAACAATTTACCCTAAAACTTAGCAGTCTATAGCACTCAAAATTTATTATCCCACAGTTTCTGTGGACCCGGAATCCAGGAGTTGCCTAGGTGGGTGCCTTTGGCTTGGGGTATCTCACCAGGCTGCAGCTAAGGAGTCAGACCAAAAATGTCAAGGCTCAACTTAGAGTTTAACTTACTTCCAAACTTGGTCATGTGGCTTTGGCAGATCTTCAAAGGTCACTTCCAAGTCCATTCCTGTGGCCATTGCCAGGATATAGGTCCTTACTGGCTGTTGGCCAGAGACATCCATTTCTTGCCATCAATTTCTCACAACATGGTAGCTTCTTCCCCTCAGCCTCTCCATCCAAAGTAGGGTTCAGGGAGAGAGGAAAAGAGAGAGCAAGCAAGTACACAAGAGAGGTGAAAGTCACAGTCTTCATGTAACCTAATCTCAAAAGTAACATCTCATCGCGTTTGCCCTGTTTATTTGTTAGAAGCTCTGGGTCCAGCCTGCACTCAAGGGCAGAGTACCACACAAAGGTGTGAATCCTGGGAGACAGGGCCCACTGATGGCATCTTAGAGGATGCCCAGCACAGGTGCTCCTGACTCTTCCTTTCTCCACTTCTTTTCTTCTAGAAGGGCTCTATTTTTGTGTCTGGTCAGTTCTCTCTATCAATGCACCTGCTCTGTCAAGTTGTATCTGCTCTCATCTCTCTCCCCCACACCATGACTTAAGCACTCAAACCCCCATCCCTTATCCCTCTCTTAAGACTCAGTTAGTTTCTGCAGCCCTGTCACCCACTGTACCCTGGGGTGTGTCCTGGCCTCCAGCCTGTTTCCAGCACATGCCACTAGTTTCCCTACTTCCTCACTCATATCCATGTTGTTCCTACTACCTGGAGTATCATGGTCCCCCAACAGACTGTTGAAATCTTTCTCCTTCTCAGGCAGCTCTAAAGCAACCTCCTTGAATGAAATCTTTCCTGAACCTCTATGTGGTCACTTCCACCTGGTGTCTCTAGGGCATCTGGGGTGGGACTCTGTCTCAACTTTCTAGCACACAGCCAGCCTTGTGTGGCCCCTGTGTGGCTAGACATTCCATGCCTGCACCCAGGCTCTAGACACAGGGCCGTTGTCTTTTCATCTCTATCTGGAGCACATGTGTCCAGGCCTGGGCTGAGTGGGTACTTAATAAATGCGGTTGCATTGATCCAGGATGGGGTGTGAGTCTGGTCACACTCTGTTACTTGAGGGGTTACAAAGTTTTGTTGGTGGTGCCAGGTCTTAACTATTTTGTCCATATGGCTTGTCTGTGCAATCAGAACACGGCTCCCAGGCAAAACTTCTATATCTTTAACAACAAACTCATAAGAAAGTGAGTTTATTACTACTCATAAGTAAGAAAACCACAAACTCATCATGTTTTGAGGATTTGCCATGTTCCAGACACGCTACGTGATCATAGCTGCCATCTGTGGCACATGGAATTGTTGAGCCCAGCGCTAAGCACAACACGAGGGAATCGTGTGGACTGAAGGCAGCAGGGGCTCATCTGCCCTGTTCATCAGGCAGTCTCAGGAAGGCATGAATCTTTCTAGAGCCAGAAGAGATTTGTGCCCAAAGTCAACCACCATCTTGGAACTCTGGCTGGCTCACTTCCATCTGCCTTCAAACATGCAAAAGTCTATTCAGGTTTGCACACACACACACACCCCTCCCTTCTCATTTCTCTGCCATTTCTTTCCTTCCTTCTCTGTTTCCTTCCATCCAATCTCTTCATATAGTTTCTCCCCAGTCCCCAGTCCCCAGTCCCTTCTCCCCCATAACCATCGCAAGTGTGATTTTGTCCCTAGCACTCCTCGGAGAGCCAGGGAGTGCAAGAGGAGATGGGAAGTTGGTACAAATGACTGGGCTGACCTATCAATGGAAATCCTGCATAGACATTGGTAGCTAACTGTGTCCCAGTTTTTTTTTTTTTTTACCTGCCAGAGCTTGAATCTGCTTTCCTTGGTGGGCTTGGATACAGGGTCGTCTGAGTCTTCCATGACTTTTTCCCAATATGACCCAATGCCTTTCTCTCCCATTACTGTGGTCTCCTGAAATTGCTCAACTGTGAAGCTGTCATCCTTAAGGAAGCCCAGAGCTTCATCCTCTGCCTGGATGCTAAGGACCAAATCCCTCTGTCTTGCCCCTGCTGGTGTCCAACTGCCTTTGGGACCATTTGGCTTAGACTCTCTGGATGGTACTGGAAATACAGCATATCTGGAATCTAGTTCACTTTCCTCCCTCTCCAAACACTCTTTCCCTGCCTTCACTCAGTTCTTTTTCTCTGCTGGGCTCAATGACGGGTCTTTCTCACACCCGCAGGACTGTCACCCTCCAGTCTTTCCACTTCCTTTTCAAAGTCTCAGGGATTCTTCCATTCCTTCCATCCCTCCCTTGACACTACCACCCCTGTGTCTGGCTTCCCCGTCCCTCCCAAACCCAGTCTGATTCTCACTATCTTTGCAAAACTATGTTGCTTACCTGAACTGACTCATATACTCTTGAATTTGTGCATCTTCATTGCTAGAGTCATTGAAAACGCATGAACTATGGCATCAGACAAACCTCAGTCCAAAACTTGGTTCTACCCCTTGAGAATTTTTATTTTGTTTTACCTTGGGTTGATTATTTCATTTCTATTTCTATGGTAGGATAAAAATACCTATTCCTCTGGATTTTTTTGAGAGAAAAGCCAAGTGCAGATGGCTTAGTAAATATTAATTCTCTTTTCTAAAAACGTACTGTGAGTCCTCATTGCCTAGTAAATCAGGATGGAGCTCCTCAAACCCACATTCCTTGCTTGTCCAGTGTTCTCTGTCACCACTTCCCAAAGCCCAATCCTAGTGGCCCCTGAACACCCCTACCATGCTTCCTACCAAGGGCTCCCTCTCTGCCCACCCAAGCCTGGCATTTCCACAGTATCCAATGCAAGTCACCCCTCTACTGGGTAACCTCTTCCCAATTCCTATGGTACAGTGTTAGTGCTGCCAGAGGCTATGCTAACTTCAGTCATGATAATTTAGGGAATTCCTTTGCAGTCCAGTGGCTAGAACTCGGTGCTTTCACTGCCAAGGACCTCGGTTCAACCACTGGTCAGGAAACTAAGATCCTGAAAACCATATGGCACTGCCAAAAAAAGGAAAAAAAGATAATTTATACCATGTTTTATTAATAAATGTTCTCATATGATGTGAAAAATTGAAATGTGAACCTTCAAAAAGTAAAATCACAAATTGCATGCTATCAAAACTGGCAGAGCTGAGAGTTTATAAGCAGTGTCCGTACTCCCTCCCCATGACCATGCACTCCTGCTGCTGAACAGAAACGGCCCTGCTGGCATGAACTCTGACTGCTGAGGTCTTCATGAAGACATCCTTTCTCTAAAATGTGACCATTAGGATGTCACCATCTAGCACTTACTCGCAGTGTCTGACTGGACTGGGTGGGTCCTATGTGTGTCCGCTGCACATGTGTTGGCTTTGTTGCTTATCTTCTTGCAGGCCTCGAGGTCTAGTGCTGTCAGACAAGAGAGTCCCTCCTATCCAGTCCCTGCCACACTCCAGAGACCAGGACCAAGACAGAAACAGGCACCCCAGTTTCCACCTAGGTCTCTCTTAGGTTCACTGTCTGGGAGAACAATGTTGATTTGATAGAGTAGGTAAAATTCCCCTTTACCCAAAGCAAGTGGCTTTTAACTTGTCAGGAGGAAAGGGTAATGCTGTGTTTATTAGCTAAGAGTTGATTGTATGTTGACAGGTCATCTACTGTTCCTTTTAGAAGGGATACTTTCAGTCCAATTCAAATAGTTACAGAGGGCCTGTCTGTGCTAGGCCTGCAAACTCCTTGTGGCAAAGGATGCATGTTAAGTAAGTGATTTTCACTCTACTCACTTCATTGAGCTTAGAATTTGGAACATTGAGTTCATAAAGGAATGCTGTGTTTCCACTCTTGCTCATGCTCTGCTGGGAGAATAAATCCTCTTAACCAGCAATTGGGGCTTCCCTTGTAGCTCAGTTGGTAAAGAATCTGTCTGCAATGCAAGAGACCTGGGTTCAATCCCTAGGTTGGGAATATACCCTGGAGAAGGAAATGGCAACCCACTCCATTATTCTTGCCTGGGAAATCCCATGGACAGAGGAGCCTGGCGGGCTACAGTCCATGAGGTCCCAAGAGTTGGACATGAAGGACTAAACCACTAAACTACCACAGCAAATAAAGATGGCTATCGCAGTGGGTGGAAATGTGCTGGTATCAATTTTGCCTGACATTGCCCGGGGCTCCGGCTTCTTGGTTCTCCGCAGTTGTTGACGTCTACCAAGGCTGGTGTGGCCCCTGCAAGCCCGTGGTGAGCCTCTTCCAGAAGATGAGGGTGGAGGTCGGCCCGGACCTTCTGCATTTTGCATCAGTAAGATCCTCTCTCAGCAGAATGTCGAACAACGGTCGCAAAAAAACTTAAACACTGAAAAACAGGAACAGGAAGCCTGAGGGGCCTTTGGCAGATCATGGAGAGAGTATCCGTTGTGGAGTTTCTGCTGATGCCAGTTTCTCAGGGGAGGAGGTTTCCTGCCTTCCCTGCCTCCCGCAGTCCCGGTGGGCCCCGCCATCCTGGCGCTGGAGCAGGGACTGCTCGGCTGCGCTAAGGCCAGTGCCCCTCCTTGTCTCCCGGACACTGTGAAGCCTGGAGTCTCACTTCCAGAGCACAGGGTTTAATATCTCTATCCTTGCTCCTTAAAGGGGACTTTCAGCAAGTTTCCCTGGGTCAGTGGATGGAGATGGGAATCACTTCCGGAGACGCACATTGGAGACGCGGGATGAGTTGCAAGGGGTGAGGCTCAGCCGGTGAACACGGGAGCGACGCTCCCTCGCGATAACTCTGGAGAAGCTGGGCTTCCGGGGCCTGCCCTCCTCCTGGGATCCGCTTGTGAGGCTTCGGTGGAGGAGAGCAGGAGGGGCCTAAATGGCGGGCTTTATCCCACCTGGGGGCAGAGCTCAAGGACCCTCCTGTGTCCCAGCCCCTAGGAGCAGACGTGGGATGGTAGCGGAGGACCTCCCTTGATCCGGAGCAGGAAAAGCTGTCATTTCCTCCTTATCTTATTCCTCAGAAAACTACACTAGCAACACATTTTACCCATATGTTGACAGGACACTTGTTAAGGTTCTGATAAAAAGACATTAGAAGGCGCAGCATGAGAGTGAAAAGCCAGGGCTCCACCTGGGGAGGGCATCACTCCTGTGTGTGTGCGCGTGCGTGTGTGATGTGTGTGGTGAGTTGTGTGTAACATATGTGTGTTATGTAGTTTGTATTATGTGTAATGTACGTGCACAATGTGTGTTACGTGTAATATATGTGTGTGGTATGTGTGTGTGATGTATGTGACTTATGTGTAATGTATGCGTGTGATGTGATCCGTGTGTTATGTGTACTGTGTGTGGTGTGGTGTGTAACATATGTGTGTTGAGTGGTGTATGTGTCATGTATAATGTATGTGTGTGCATGTTGTGTGGTGTGTGTATGTGGTATATGGTATGTAGTATTGGTGTGTGTGGTATGTAGGGGGGATGTGGTGTGTGTGTGTTTTGTTGGTGAGGAATATGTGTGTCTGTGATGTCTGTGTGTGGTGAGTGTGTTGTGTGTGTGTATGTGGTATGGGGATAAGGGGTATGTGTGTGTGTGGTATGTGGGGGGGTGTGATGTGTGCGTTTTGTGTGGGATGAGGGGCATGTGTGTATGTGATGTCTGTGTGTGGTACGTGTGGTGTGTGTGTGTGTGTGTATGTGGTATGGGGATGAGGTGTATGTGTGTGTGTGGTATGTGGGGGGGTGTGATGTGTGCGTTTTGTGTGGGATGAGGGGCATGTGTGTTTGTGGTGTCTGTGTGTTTGTATGTGGTATGTGATGTGGGGGATGAAGGGTGTGTGTGTGTGTGAGATGCGTGTGTGATATGTGTGTCCCATGCAGTTCTCCCATCACCCTGTTGACCATCTGTTTCCTTTAGGCAGAGGCAGACTGTCTTGATGTGCTCGAAAGATACCGAGGGAGGTGCGAGCCAACCTTTCTGTTTTATGCCGTGAGTACCTTTTCAGTCAGGGATGGTCCCATGGCTCACCCTTGAGGGTTCAGAAGGACGCCTCTCACCAAGAGCCCACACTGCTCCCAGCAAAAGGTGCTGGCTTATCCTGACTCTTTATTGTTTGGCCAAGGACCAGTGCCCTCAATCACAGCACTGCTCATGGGCAGAACCCTGGGGAGTCACTCTGGGCTGCAGGCCTCTTGAGGGTTGGACTCGGGACAGAGGACAATCCCCTCGAATGCCTGTGCACCTTCTAGCTCGTGAGCACTCTTGACTGAAGACACTCCCAGCACAGAGTTTGGCGAGTCCCACTGTGCTCCACAGAGGGAACATGAATGCTCCTGTATTTACCTTTGTTTCATCATTAAATGTGAAGATATGTTGACATAAAGTTGGAAATGAGAGGGTCAATGGATGACAACCAGTGGTCCAGCATTTGCAAGACAGCCTGGCTGCCTTCAGCTGTGACATCCACGTGGGGCTCCCGGCCCCCAAGGGCCCGCCATCTCACATCTGGCTCCTGGCTTTAGGTCACCTGCCAGGCCCTGAAGACAACGGGTTGATTTTCTCCTCCTGACTCAGTGCAGCGCTCCATCACACAGTCAGGGCAACTGGGATCCGCTCACCAGGACCAGGGTTGTTTACCTTGGAAACCTTCGGGCTCCTGTCCTCGGCAGCAAGTCTCACAAGTTGGAAGCTTCTGGTGAAACCTCATTTGCGCTTTGGCCTTCAGGAGGGAGATTGAACTTATCTGATGGTGGGGGAGGGAGGGGGAGCGGGAGATGCTGAAATGGACATGCCCCCAGCCACGTGGCATCAGAGCTCAGTGGCAGAAAAGGCATCATTACCACAGTAGTTGGCTTGCCTGAGCCTGGAGCATGTGGATTAAAGCGTCAGTGGTAATGGCCATGTGGGGACACATGGAATCTTGTCACTGTCATCACACAGAGGTGGTCCCCTGAGGGTGGGATGGAGACAGAAGGAAGACCCAGTGTATGTGATGGTCTGTGAGTGACGGGCATGCAGACTTCTGAAGAATCAAAGATGGGAAGCTCCAGTTCACTGCAAACAGCACCTCCACTGTGAGGTTCTCCCTTATCACCCCAGATGGAGTCGGGAATTGATTCTTGCCCCAAATCCCAAGCACCCCTGTTAATGCAATGGTCTTATGCTGTTGTCGTTGTTTCTCTGACACCACCGTCTCCCTCCCCGCTCCACACCCAGCTCACTGAGGGTGGTGTCTGTGTCTTTCCATGTTTAGGGTTTACGTTCTGTGCCTTTGTCTTGGTGTTGGGCATAGTAAGTGCTCAGTTGATACTTGTTGGATGAAGGAGCCACAGAGAGTCCATACTTAGTGACTCACAACCTATGGCCCTGGTCCTCCCCCACCTAACTCCCTGATGCCCTCAAGGAAGTTTTGAAGGGAGTTGGGGCATGGGGTAGGGGGCAGAGAAGTGACTGGAGGCTGTGGGTGTGGAGTCCATGGACCTTGACCTTGGGCACACTCCCAAACAAAGCCCTTGGACACTCGCCAACTCTTGAAAGAGGTTGCTGTCGTGTGATCTGAGCAGGACCTCTGTGCTGTGTTCCAGGGAGGAGAGCTGGTGGCGGTGGTGAGAGGAGTGAATGCCCCACTGCTGGAGAAAACCATCCGCGAGCAGCTGGAGGCAGAAAAGAGGGTGCTGGCTGAAGGCAAAGAACGGCGAGTGGTAAGTGGCCAGGCCAGCAGGTCACTCCCCTGCCCCACCAGTGTCCTCTTTATCCCTGGAAAGCTGCAGTAAATGCCTATCTGCTCAGGGGAGGTGCAAGGCCCACTAAGAAGTCTTTGAAGAAGTCCTCTTCATCCAGAACACTTTAGTGTCTCATCTATTTCTCACTCATCCCCACTTGATCTCCCAACAGGGCTTTCTGTAACCCTGACAGCGAATTCAGGAATGAAAATGAAGTTATGGATCCAGGAGTGGGTTGGAGGAGTCAGCCTCGGGGGGACATCTCTCCTGGTGACCTGCCCTCCCCTCTCATTCCTGGGTTTTATTTGTGACCCCAGGGGGTTCATAGCTTTAACTAGAAAGGGGTCATTACTTTGAGAAATAGGATCAGCAAGCACTGCTTGTGATTTAGGTACAATATTTTCAGGATAACGTGGACTGTGAATTTTTCATAAAGAATCGGCAGCCTTTGAAAACTGACACCCTTTAGTTAGAAATACTTCCTGTGCTCTGAGCAGCTGCCACAGGAGGCTTAACGTTGCTGTGTCCAGTGTTCAAAATTTCACACTCAATTCCAAAGAGCAAAGCCCTGTTCTCATAGAATGGATTGGAATCAAATCATATATTTCCCCCAGAAAACTGGCAAATTTTCCCCAAGAAAGAAAACACCTGTGCCTCCTCCACAGATAAATGATCTGTCTTTACTACTTCCCCAGTGTAGCCAGTTGCTTTCTATATATTTGTATTTCAATTCTTCACTTGTCTGCTTGTCAACTCTCTATTTCATCTTTCTTCTTCCTTAGTTTCTACTTGATTTGAACAGGCAGACTCTAAACCTTAAGATCAGCATGGATTTCCTTGTGTTCAGTTGCTCTCACTGTGTACCACCATCCAGTTACTCAAAAGGACCTTGAAAAGTTTCCAAGACTGATAATCTTGACCCTCTTCTTTTGCTCTGCATTTGTAACCTTTACCTTCTTGGCTTCTGTTGGTTGTTGAAAGTCTTTGTGGAATTTTAATCAGCTATCTACTTTCTGTCCATGACCAATTTGTACTAGGTTAAAGATGAAGCTCTTTCTGATGGAGATGAATGCTTTTCTCATGAAAAGAACGATGGTGATGATGAGGACCTGGGTGAGTACAGAACCAACAAGCAAGCAAAAGGCAGTGCAGACTTGGACTTGATGTGTTTTTTAAAAAATATATGAGTAGTAAGTTTATTGAATAATCTGAACCCTGGGAAAATAACTCATAAAACATTGCGTCTCCAATCACCTGACTTCAAACTTACTGTGTTAATCTCCCTCCTGTGCTTTAATGGCATCTTGAGTGTCTTTCTGATCATGTTCAACTATAACAAGTGTGACTTTCATGACAATTGCTGAGCATCAGGAAAGGCTCTCTTAATAAAGTGGAGGGGAATGACACTAATAAGGTAAAGTAATGAGGTACTGGGGTTTCCTTAGCCCTTATTTAAGAACTTGAGTTTCTTTAACCATTTTTCTCAAGTGTGAGAAGGTCAGCTGTACTGAACCCCTTCCCTCCCCACAGCCCTGCACCCTCTTCCTCTTAGTCCCCAAGTATCAACTCATGGATTTTACACTCCTGAGCCTTTAATATGCAAACATCTTGATCTGACAGTGGGAAGAGAAGCTAGAAGTTAGAAAGTTTGTTGCTGGCAAGGTGGCTCCTGATGGCCCCTGAGACACAAGAGGAAACCAGGATGTGGCTCAGGAGCTAAGCAGGAGAGAGGAGGAAGTTCTGATTACTGCCTGAATGAGAATAACTGCTATTTATGTGTGGATCACGAGGACTGTCTGAGATGGATTCTAATAAGGGATGTGGTGCAGTTTAGGAGAGCAAGAAATTTCAAGTGTGAAAGAGAAGTCAGCGATTTGGCTCCTGCAGGAAACACTTGTTGTCTCGTTTATGGATTATCGCTTCTTCTCTTCCCCATTATTTTCTCCTAAATCCAGTATCTCCACTTAGGAAACTACACAAAGTCTGCCCTTGCCCTTAGCCTTCCACTCCTCCGAGCTCAGCTTCCCAGCTCAGCTTCCTGGTCCACACTCCTTGGGCCACCCTCTCCTCTGTCACTGCCCATCTGCTGCTCCCAGAGCTCCAGTGACCTTCTTGGCACCAAATCCTGCAGGCAGTTACCAGTCAGCCTATGGTGTCCTGCTGCGGGATTGGCTGCCGTCCACAGCGTCTTCCTACTCAAAACCCTCTTCTTGAGACTTTCCTGGTGGTCCAGTGGTTAAGATTTCACCTTCCAATGCAAGGGGTATGGGCTCAATCCCTGGTTGGGGAACTAAGATCCCACATGTGCTAAGTCACTTCAGTCATGTCCAAATCGTTGTGACCTTATGGACTGTAGCTCGCCAGGCTCCTCTGTACATGAGACTCTCCAGGCAAGAATACTGGAGTGGGTTGCCATTCCCTCCTCCAGGGAATCTTTCCAATCCAGGGATTGAAGCCACATCTCTTATATCTCCTGTGCTGGCAGATGTGTTCTTTACCACTAGTGTCACCTGGGAAACCCTAAGATCCCACATTCCTTGTGGCCCCAAAACCAAAACAGAAGCAATATTGTAACAAATTTAACTGAGACTTTAAAAATGGTCCACATAAAAAACCCACAAAAACAAAAACACCCCTCTTCTTGTCTGGTGTCTGAGGCATCTTGACCTTTCTCATTTTCATTCTCATTTTCTCTGGCCTGTCCACAGCCTCCCTGTCCTCAGCTTTTCTTTTGCTCTCTCTTCAGACTGGAGTTCTTGGGCTCCTGCTCTGGCCTCTTCTCTTGTCACCTTATACTCTGGGCAGTCTCATTAATTGGTCAATTTATAAGGGGATTTAAAGTCCAAGGATTCATAGGATGTTAGAAATAGTGCTCATGGAAGAATGAACCAATTGGCTGCTTAACATGATCAGCACTTTTTTAGCCCACATTTTTGAGATTTTCAGAGTCAATACAACTGATGAGGAAGTTGAAAAGAGAAAATAGGCCATTATAATCTGTGGACAGCATGCAGAGCTCACCAAGGCCAAGTCCATACAAACAGGAATCCAACAGGGATGGGTTGGTGCACAGATGTGGGTTCCCCCGAGGCGTCTGTGGGCCTGAACAGTGGATGGTGGCCATGCAGCATCTCCCTGATCACCACAGCTGCTTGGCTTGTGGACACAGCCACCCAGTAGCCTGGCCAGTGAGCTCTGACTGGTGCCTGGGCTCCAAATGATGAGACGAGGCCGATTCTCAGGAGAATGGGACAGAGGAGTTTGGTAGGACGTGCCAGCCCTGAGCGGACTTGGGGCCTGGGGCAGCCACCACTGACCACATGCTAGAAAGTCAGAAAGACGCACCGAGAGGAGAACACAGTTGGTTGCAGTTAGAGACCAAGAATCATGAGGGGGTGACAGGAAGGGACGAGAGTGTCCTGGCCTGCTTCGCCTCTGCTCCAGCTCTGTCCCCTCTTCAGGCTGACTTGGTTGTTTCTGGGTTTTGTTCCTGAGTCATCTTTGATTTCCTTCTCCACCTCCCATCCTCTTCTCCCTCCCCACACTCTCCCTCCCAGTTTGTGTTGCTTGCAGCCAGGCTGGGGTTGGGGTCTGGAGTCAGACCCCTGCATCCACTAGAGTCCAGGTCAGCAGAAGCTCAGCCAAGAGGCCGGGGGAGGGAGGCGGGGGCTGTGTGGAGCTGCACAGTCCCTGAGGAGGGCATCCTGAGAGCCTCCTGTGAGTCCAGGTCTGACAGCACTATCCCTGGCTTGTTGCAGTGTCATCAGAGAAGGCATGCACCTTGGCCATCATTAAACCAGACGCGGTGGTCCATGGGAAGACAGATGAGATTATCATGAAGGTAAGAGAGACAATGGGAGACTTCTGAGTTGGGAAGATCCCCTGGAGGAAGGCGTGGCAACCCACTCCATTATTCTTGCCTGGAGAATCCCCATGGACAGAGGAGCCTGGTGGGCCTCAGTTCATGGGGTCGCACAGAGTTGGACGTGACTGAAAGACCTAGCCCAGCAGCAAGAGAGAAAACATTTCCCTTACAGACTATCCTTGTGTCTTCTCTGGTGGAAAAACAGGGGTGGGGCATAGTGTAGCAGTGTCTTGGGGGAAGAGGCATCTAAGGAATTTAATAAAAAATTATTTATTTAATAATAATGATAATAAAATTAATAATTAAATAATTAATTGTTGAGTATTAAAATCTGGTTTAATTAAAATTCCAGTGAAGTAAATCACAATATTTCTTTCTTTATTTTTGGCTGTGCTGGGTCTCTGTTGCTATGTGAGGGCTCTTCTCTAGTTGCGGCACGTGAGGGTGATTCTTTGTTGCCATGCATGGGCTTCTCATTGCCATGGCTTCTCTTGTTCTGGAGCACAGGTTCAGTAGTTGTGGTGCACGGGTTTGGCTGCCCTGTGCCATGTGGGATCCTCCCAGACCAGGGATCGAACTCGTATCCATGCACTGGCAGGTGGACTTCTTAACCACTGGACCACCAGGAAAGTCCTAAATGACAATTTTTAAATTGAATCAGGTCAGATATGATGAGAATGAAGGTCTCTGCTGTTTGTAATGTTGTCTTTCCATCATCTTTTACTTTCAACACATGGAAATGTGAATTTGTGCTTGCTTTCAGTTCAGTTCAGTTCGGTTCGGTTTCTCAGTCGTGTCCGACTCTTTGCGACCCCATGGACTGAAGCATGCTAGGTTTCCCTGTCCATTACCAACTCCTGAAGCTTGCTCAAACTCATGTCTATTGAGTCAGTGATGCCATCCAACCATCTCATCCTCCGTCGTCCCCTTCTCCTCCTGCCTTCAATCTTTCCCACCATCAGGCTCTTTTCCAATGAGTCAGTTCTTCGCATCAGGTGGCCAAAGTATTGGTTTCAGCTTCAACATGAGTCCTACCAATGAATAGTCAGGACTGATTTCCTTTAGGATTGACTGGTTGGATCTCCTTGCAGTCCAGGGGACTCTCAAGAGTCTTCTCCAACATCACACTACAAAAGCATCAATTCTTCAGTGCTCACCTTTCTTTATAGTCCAACTCTCACATCCATACATGGCTACTGGAAAAACCATAGCTTTGACTAGACGGACCTTTGTTGGCAAAGTAATATCTCTGCTTTTTAATATGCTGTCTAGATTGGTCATAGCTTTTCTTCCAAGGAGCAAGCATCTTTTAATTTCATGGCTTCAGTCACCATCTGCAGTGATTTTGGAGCCCCCAAAATAAAGTCTCTCACTGTTTCCATTATTTCCCCATCTATTTGCCATGAAGTGATGGGATCAGATGCCATGATCTTAGTTTTCTGAATGTTGAGTTTTAAGCCGACTTTTTCACTCCTTTTTCACTTTCATCAAGAGGTTCTTTAGTTCATCTTCGCTTTCTGCCATAAGGGTGGTGTCATCTACATATCTGAGGTTATTGATATTTCTCTCGGCAATCTTGATTCCAGCTTGTGCTTCATCCAGCCTGGCATTTTGCATGATGTACTCTGCATATAAGTTATATAACCAGGGTGACAATAGACAACCTTGATGTACTCCTTTCCTCATTTGGAACCAGTCTGTTATTCCATGTCCAGTTCTGACTATTGCTTCTTGACCTGCATACAGATTTCTCAGGAGGCAGGTCAGGTGATCTGGTATTCCCATCTCTTGAAGAACTTTCCAGTTTGTTGTGATCCACACAGTCAAAGGTTTTGGCATAATCAAGAAAGCAGAAGTAGATGTTTTTTGGGAACTCTCTTGCTTTTTTGATGATCCAACAGATGTTGGCAATTTGATCTCTGGTTCCTCTGTGTTTTCTAAATCCAGCTTGAACATCTGGAAGTTCACGGTTCATGTACTGTTGAAGCCTGACTTGGAGAATTTTGAGCCTTACTTTACTAGCGTGTGAGATGAGTGCAATTGTGCGGTAGTTTGAACATTGTTTGGCATTGCCTTTCTTTGGGATCAGAATGAAAACTGACATTTTCCAGTCCTGTGGCCACTGCTGAGTTTTCCAAATTTGCTGGCATATTGAGTGCAGCACTTTCACAGCATCATCTTTTAGGATTTGAAATAGCTCAACTGAAATTTCATCACCTCCACTAGCTTTGTTCATAGTGATGCTTTCTAAGGCCCACAGGACTTCACATTCCAGGATGTCTGGCTCTTTACCATATATATGTGTGTATATCTCCTACAGATCCAGGAAGCTGGGTTTGACATTTTAATGAATGAAGAGAGAACCATGACAGAAGCAGAAATGCGACTTTTCTACCAACTCAGAGCTGGAGAGGTCAGCTTTTCAGTTTTCATTTATCCAACATGCTTGCATTTCTTTATCTTTTTCCAACTTTATGTTTATAGATTGATATTAGTTTGGGAGAAGCTAGACTATTATGAAGAACAAGATTATGAACAGCAAGTGGGCCATGAAATTACTCTCAGCATAATGATTACAGGCTGTGTCAGGGAGACGTTGCTTGGTATGCTCCCAAAGATTAGAGTTTGACTCCAACTTAAGTAATGAAATAAGGAGTTTATTGGAGGGATACTCTGTGACTCCCAGAACTGAAGAAAGAATGCTGAAGGAGTTGCATGAGAAGGTGCTGGGACAAGAAGAACCAAGGCAGGGTTATGGATTTATGGAACAAAACCTCACAGGCCGTCACTTCAGGTGCTCCTGTTGGGTGACAGATCCATCTGTTTCTGCTTCTGACTCACCCACCTGGGAGACAGGGTCTCCTAGCCTGGGCCCCACCTCTCAGGTGGGGAGGGTGTGTGTGAGGAGGGGTGGATAGGCATTGTGGTTGTCGGCCAGACTAGGACTGAGTGAAATGGGGAAGGGCTGCTCCCCAAAGGAAGCTTGAGTAATACTACTTGAAGAGGGGGGAAGGGTTGTAAGATGCTGCAAAGAAGTCTCAGCTGTATCCCCTGGTTTCCATGTGTGTGGTCTTCTAAATGCTGCTATCTAACTTCTTATAATTTCATGCTCAATCCCAAACATGTCATTTCAGAGCCTCATCTTCCTGCCTTTAACTTATTATATCTGGGTTCTCTGTGTCTTTGGGTACCACTTCCCCTCCCTGGGGTCTTCCAGGGCATGCTGGCTGGTAGTGAGGCAGCTCACAGACCCTCTCCCATCCTGTGGGTGGGATGGGCCCCTGGGGCCCCTGGCCTGATTCACCCCCTTCCCTCCCTGTGCTAGGACACATTTGAGAAGCTGGTACATCACATGTGCAGTGGGCCAAGCCACCTCCTGATCCTTAGCAGGACTGAGGGCACCAAGGACGTGGTCACTGCCTGGCGAACCCTCATGGGGCCCTGTGACCCTCATGCGGCGAGGAGGGAGCAGCCTGACAGGTAATGTCACCAGCAGTGGTCTTTTCATGAATCTCAACACCTGCATCAAGGAAGCTGAGAGCCCTGCTAGGGGTTCAGCCCAGAATTGTGGGTAACACAGAAGGCACTCTGCTGGCCGCGAAGCTCCCTCTTTGTTATATGCTGGGGAGTCCCTGCCCTTTGTTATGTATTTGAGGAGACCTTGACGTCCTCCCCGTCTGATCCCACCCCAGCCCTTCAGAGGGTGCCTCCTTGCTGCTGCCTCTTCCCCTCTTCTGAAGGCTGCTGTGGGGCCAGTCCTCACTGTGTGTAGCAGAGGGTTTGTGGTCCCAGAGCCATCTGAAACCCTGACTCAGGAAGTACAGATTCCAGGGCTACACCCAGGCCTGCTGAGTCAGAGACTCTGAGTGGGGCCTAGGAATCGGCAGTGTAGACTCAGACCCCCAACCCTTATCCCCTACTCCCTACCCAAGATGTCCTGAGGTCCCCTAAAGTCTGAGCACCCTGTTCTGCACACAGCCCTAGGCTGCCTTGTTTGGCTCCCTGACCCACAACGCCACTGCCAAATCCACTGTCTTGCCTTTGAAGCTGACAGAGGCCCCGCCAACAAGAAAGACATTAGCAAGAGACTAAGTAACTGCAGTTGTACCTTATAGTTGTAGGGAGCTGGGAACATTCATGTTTGAGGCAGCAGGGGCTGGTGAAAGACAGCCCAGAGTTCAGATCTTAGGTTTTCTGAGCCTCAGTTCTCTCATCTATAAAATGGGGTTGTGAGCACCTATCTTGGGAGGCTGTTAGAGTGCTGTGGTTAGAATCTCTCTTCTTCCTCTTGCTAACTGTGTGGTCTTGGGTCATCTGGGCTTTAATCCCTCTGTCTAATGTCTTCATCTGGAAAATGGGAACTACAATGGGAAAGGACCTGCCTGAGATTAAGAGAGAGAGAGAAAGAGGGAACTTGGAACACTGTTTGAGATAGAGGAAATCTTAGCAGTGTTAGTATTATTTTAGGGAACCTTGAGGAGAAGACAATGGCACCCCACTCCAGTACTCTTGCCTGGAAAATCCCATGGATGGAGGAGCCTGGTAGGCTGCAGTCCATGGGGTCGCTGAGTCGGACATGACTGAGCGAATTCACTTTCACTTTTCACTTTCATGCACTGGAGAAGGAAATGGCAACCCACTCCAGTGTTCTTGCCTGGAGAATCCCAGGGACGGGGGAGTCACACCATGACTCATGCATATTTACACCCTTTTAAAAATATTTATTTATTTGGCTGCATCAGGTCTTAGTGCCACATGTAGGCTCCAGAGCACAAGAGCTTCAGAAGTTGTGGCACATGGGCTCTCAAGTTGTGGACATGGGTTTAGTTGCTCCATGGCGTGTGGGATCTTAGTTCCAAAAGCAGGGATCAAACCCACATTCCCTGCATTGCAAGGCAGGTTTGTCACCAGTGGACCACCAGGGAAGTCCTTACTCATGCATATTTAAAGTGAGGGTCATGATGGTCTCCCTAGTCTCCCTCCTAGGGTTGCTGCACAAATCAAACAAGGTCAGAACACCACTGGTTACCATCATCCTTGATGCCGTTCCTGGCACTTCCAGCAGAGAAAGCCGCGTCACAGAAATGCTGCCTGTTGATGGGTAGCTGGCGGCCTTGTTGCCAGAGATCAAAACATTTCTTTTCAAATGAGACCTTTCTTGTACATTTTGCATACTGCCAGTCTCCGGGCTCAGTATGGCACGGAAATGCCCTTTAATGCAGTCCATGGAAGCTGGGACTTAGAAGACGCCCGTCGGGAACTGGCCCTGCTGTTCCCCAGTTTTCAGTTTTCAGACCAGATTCCAGAATCCGCCCCTCTGGGTAAGTCATCCAGGTAGATCTGGTCGTGTGTGTGTGTGTGTGTGTGTGTGTGTGTGTGTGTGTGTGTGTGTGTGTGTGTGTGTGTGTGTGATCCAGGCAGATCTGGTCTTGTGTGTGTGTGTGTGTGTGGAGTGGGGGTTACTGATAGTTACTATGTGGTAACCACCTTCAGGAAAAACAGGGCCCCTTAGGAAACTTTAGCAACTGCCCTGCTGTTTTATTTTCAGAGTAACAGTGTTGCTTTTTAATACCTCATTACATTTTTTGCTGCATATTTCACTTTGAAGCCAAACTCTTATTGCAAAGTTACTTTGCATTCTCCCCTGGAAACCACAGAGAAAATTTAACTAACTTTCCAGAAGGCAACTTCCAAGGCAGAGGCCAGACAGTTACTCAGTCACTTCCTCCAAGCTCCACAGGCCCCACCAAGCCTTTGATGGGGCTGCGGAGAAATAGAGGGTTATACAGAAGTACCCTCCACCTGGAGCTGCTGTGGGTCTCGTATCCCTTAGCACCCATATTTGGGATAAGTGTGCTGGGCTTTTTTGGAGGCACCCCTTCCAAATCAGGGTGAGAAACCCCCCGGGCTCAGAGCACATGTGACCTGCCCCACTCCATGAGTGGGAGAACAAGGCCTGTGCTGCTCCTGCCGAGTTGCACATCTCTGTTTGAGCCTGATGTGAGGTGGAAGGGGCCAGGAGTGAACATGCTGGGAAAAGCAAAGGATGTGAAGGTCGCCTTCTTGGGAGAGGGCTGCCTGCAGATCTGAAACAGTAATAACCTCTATGTGCCTGCATGTTAGGGGTTGTCACCCAAATGCTTCCCTAAATGTTTATGTTCATCATGGTCTCCTCAAGATCCACATCCAGCCAAGTAAGTATAAGTGGTCCGAAAGCAAGGAAAGGAAGGGTGAGAGCTGACCCCTGCTGGCCCTTGTTTAATCCTGGTGTGGCCTGCTGCTGGCTGAGGGACAACTGGGAGTGAGATGGAATTTAGGGAGGAACTCTCACTCTGGTGCGGGCAGTACTTGGAAGACCAGCTTGTCTCTAAGGACCTGCCCTCATGGAGAGCCCACGACGTGTGGTCCAGGGACCTCTTCATCCATTTGGGGTAGTGACTGGAACAAGTAGGTATGACTCTGGGGAAGCAGGAGAGGGAACTGGCTGGGGAACACTCACTGGGGAGGACTGGGAGAGTGTGTGCCTGACCTCTCGTGATAATGAGCTGAAGGGTCTGAGCCTGGATCACACCTGGGATAAGTGCACAGCTTCCCATGGGGATGACCCAGAAGTAGCCTGGTTGCAGTGCTAGTGTTCTGCCCCTTTTCTGATGTGTGTGTTGCACCCTCTCAGCCGTCAGGAGGAGAGTGTGCTTTCCGTGTACCCAGCACTTTTTCTGGGCTCTGGAGACAGACAGTCCTGGGTCTGAATCCCACCTCTGCTATTTATAAGCGGAATAGTAGGGAAAGTTACTCTTTTGGACCTCAGTTGCCTCGTCTGTGAGATGGAGATGATGAGACCCATTATAGCCCCATAATCATCATCTTTCTCAGAGGGTTCTTGTGAAGCTCATAGCCTGGGGTGCTTATAAGTGTCACTTATAAGTGCTTAGCCAGTGTCACTTCCTTTCCTAATTCTTCCTTAGTCCCTGACCCACATACTAGGACCTCTTTGCTGCTCTGTCCACCCTGACCTCTAGCTTCACCGTCTGTCTTTCTGCTGTTCTTTGGTGGACAGTCTGTGGGTGGGGGAGCAGGACTGGGCTGTTCTAAGAAGTCCTACAAAATGCCTGTCATCCCACAGGCTGTGAGGCTGAAGGAGCGGAGGGCCCCGGCAAAATGCTGTGCTCCCCGGAGGATGTGGATGAGGCAGCCCATGACCAGGGCGAGGCCACAAGCTGAAGTCAGGATGCTTATAACTGCTGCACATAAGGAAACTTCTGGAACTGGAACTTCCTCTTTTGAGCACTAATACTTTCTTGATTTAACTATCCTTCACAAATAAAAATAACGGTACCCACTTTCCTGCCTTACTAAATAGTATGAATGTGGACTATGTACTTTTGGGGGGCCATCTTTGACATTTTAGAAAATAAATGGACATCAGTCATTGAACTCTGCTGTGACATGATGTCATCTCAGGGGATACTTACTGAGCTAGAGGACAGTGTCTCCCCAGGAACAAATTTACATTATGGATGTAATGGATGTATGGATTTTGTTTTTTAGACAAAATTTAAAAAAAAAAATTATTTGCTGCACCGGGTCTTATTTGTAGCACTTGGGAGCTTCAGTCTTCACTGTGGCATGCAGCCTCTTTAATTGCAGTTCTTAGTTGCAGCACACAGGATCTAGTTCCCTGAGCAGGGATCGAACCCAGGTCCCCTGCATTGGGAATGAAGTCTTAGCCAGTGGACCACCAGGGAAGTCCCATGGATGAAACAATTTTAAAGCTTAACTTGGTAACAGTGAACTTGAAATCAGTGCAACAGGACTGGACGTGACACTTCAGGGCGTACGGGGCAGGTATAAGTCAGCTTTAATTCATGCCATGTGCCCTGGCTACAACGGGCAGTCCTGGAATAAGCTGATTCACCATCTATGGTTCTCCATGAATCAGAGCATGTTCAGAAAACAGTGCTTGGGGGTTACATTTGGAACCAGGGTTCAACTAATTTTCTTAATGCTGCTCCCCCCGCATTTCTTGGCTTTCTGATTTTGGCTAAAGCTGAATTGTGTTTTATTTTTAAAAAATTTTTGTTTGGCTGCACCATGGGCTTGTAGGATCTTGGCTCCCCAAACAGGGATCAAACCCCAGCAGTGAAAGCTCACAATCCATGGGGCCACCCGGGAATCACCAAAACTAATTTTAAGACCTGAGAGCTCCTCGTGGTGGCACCAGCTTTCACTCAATTGCCTGGTTTAGTTGTCCCTTCATGGGTCACAGGAGCTGTTCAGTAACTATCACTACTCCCGTGAGTAGTAACATGCCAGCTACTCCTTCTTATCAGTTTGTTCTTTGGTTTATTTGTAAATGCACTGAGCCTGGGCATACTCTTTCCTCTCTGACTTGGGAAAAGGCTGTGTTCTTCTACACCATGAGGCAAATGGCTGGTTTTCTCATGAGGTGACTTTGTGCTTATGACCTGAAGAAGCTGTCTAAATGGACAGTTTGTGTCCACAAACTGTCTTTTATGGGCACACTACTCTGTCCTCCAGCCTGTAGCAAGAGGCCTTCAGGACTGGGGACAGGGACACAAGGATGAGTCAGGCTCTAGAAGGTTGGGATCAAGGCCCCTGACACTGGGTTCAGTTCAGTTCAGCCACTCAGTCGTGTCTGACTCTTTGTGACCCCAATGGACTGCAGCATGCTAGGCTTCCCTGTCCATCACCAACTCCCGGAGTTTACTCAAACTCATGTCAATCGAGTCAGTGATGCCATCCAACCATCTCATCTTCTGTTGTCTCCTTTTCCTCCCGCCTTCAATCTTTCCTAGCATCAGGGTCTTTTCTAGTGAGTCAGTTCTTCGCATCAGGTGGCCAAAGTATTGGAGTTTAAACTTCAGCATCGGTTCTTCCAATGAATATTCAGGACTGATTTCCCTTAGGATAGATAGTTGGATCTCATTGCAGTCCAAGGGACAGAGTTTTCTCCAACACCACAATTCAAAAGCATCAATTCTTCAGCACTCAGCTTTCTTTATAATCCAACTCTCACACACATACATGACTATTGGAAAAACCATAGCTTTGACTAGATGGACCTTTGTTGGTGAAGTAACATCTCTGTTTTATAATATGCTGTCTAGGTTCACCATAGCTTTCCTTCCAACAAGCAAGCGTCTTTTAATTTCATAGCTGCAGTCACCATCTGCAGTGATTTTAGACCCTCCAAAAATGAAGTCTGCCATTGTTTCCACTGTTTCTCCATCTATTTGCCATGAAGTGATGGGACCGGATGCCATGATCTTTGTGTTTTGAATGTTGAGCTTTAAGCCAACTTTTTCACTCTCCTCTTTCACTTTCATCAAGAGGCTCTTTAGTTCTTCTTTGCTTTCTGCCATAAGGGTAGTGTCATCTGAGTATATGAGGTTATTGATAGTTCTCCCAGCAATCTTGATTCCAGGTTGTGCTTCACCCAGCCTGGCATTTTGCATGGTATACTCTGCATATAAGTTATATAATTAGGGTGACAATATACAACCTTGATGTGCTCCTTTCCATATCTGAAACCAGTCTGTTGTTCCATGTCCAGTTCTGACTGTTGCTTCTTGACCTGCATACAGATTTCTCAGGAGGCAGGTAAGGTGGTCTGGTATTCCCATCTCTTGAAGAATTTTCCACAGTTTGTTGTGATTCACACAGTCAAAGGTTTTGGCATAAAATGAAGTAGATGTTTTTCTGGAACTCTCTTGCTTTTTCAATGATCCATCAGATGTTAGCAATTTGATCTCTGGTTCCTCTGTGTTTTCTAAATCCAGCTTGAACTTCTGGAAGTTCTTGGTTCACATACTGTTGAAGCCTGGCTTGGAGAATTTTGAGCCTTACTTTGCTAGTGTGTGAGATGAGTGCAATTGTGCAGTAGTTTGAACATTGTTTGGCATTGCCTTTCTTTGGGATTGGAATGAAAACTGACCTTTTCCAGTCCTGTGGCCACTGCTATGTTTTCCAAACTTACAGACATATTGAGTGCAGCACTTTCACAGCATCATCTTTTAGGATTTTAAATAGCTCAACTGGAATTCCATCACCTCCACTAGCTTTGTTCATAGTGATATTTCCTAAGGCCCACTTGACTTCGCATTCCAGGATGTCTGGCTGTAGTTGAGTGATCACACCATCATGGTTATCTGGGTCATGAAGATCTTTTGTGTATAGTTCTTCTGTGTATTCTTGCCACCTCTTCTTAATAGCTTCTGCTTCTGTTATGTTCATACCATTTCTGTCCTTTATTGTGCCCATCTTTGCATGAAATATTCCCTTGGTATCTCTAATTTTCTTGAAGAGATCTCTAGTTTTTCCCAATCTATTGTTTTCCTCTATTTCTTTGCATTGATCACTGAGGAAGGCGTTCTTCTCTCTCCTTGCTATTCTTTGGAACTCTGCATTCAGATGGGTATATCTTTCCTTTTCTCCTTTGCCTTTAGCTTCTCTTCTTTTCTCAGCTATATGTAAGGCCTCCTCAGACAACCATTTTGCCTTTTTGCATTTATTTTTCTTGGGGATGGTCTTGATCACTGCCTCCTGTACAATGTTACAAACCTCTGTCCATAGTTCTTCAGGCACTCTGTCATCAGATCTAATCCCTTGAATCTATTTGTCACTTCCACTGTGTATTGTAAGGGATTTGACTTAGGTCATACCTGAATGGTCTGGTAGTTTTCCCTACTTTCTTCAACTTAAGTCTGAATTTGGCAATAAGGAATTCACAATCTGAGCCACAGTCAGCTCCTGGTCTTGTTTTTTGCTGACTATATAGAGCTTCTCCATCTTTGGCTGATGGCTGCAAAGAATATAATCAAATAATCAATCTGATTTTGATACTGACCATCTGGTGATGTACATGTAGAGTCTTGGTGTTTCCCACAACCTTGGGTCACCTCTGGATGGAAAGTTGCCTGCCCGTCATACTCGGCACTATCAGTACAGGCCCCGTGAGAACACTCAGTGGAGCGCCCTCTGACAGACTCTCAGGAAAGTTGACTCCGCCAAGGCACACCCCCCCAGACACAGAGCCCACCAAAGGGCTGTGCTCTGACCTTTGTGAGTGGTCTCAAGATGGGGCGGCTGGCTCTGTCGGTCTGAGCTGGCTCCAGAGCCCCACACTTGGCCTTCCACACCACAGGTGTTGTTTAGCTCTGAATGAGCGGCTTGGGGTACACACAGTTGACAGCTATCTAGTCTCCTCAGAAGCTGGGATGCCAAGCTTCCATCACTGGAGAGAGGAGAGGTGAGAAATGGAGTGACCAAGGCCTCTGAAAGCAGGGGAGAGAAAAGCAGGTGGAGGGACTGGCCCATGTCTGTAGGTGTCTGTGATGACCTTTCAGCCTTCCCAGGATGTGGCTGGGATGGCAGGGCTGGGATGGGGAAAGCAGGAGGACATAGGTGACAGGGCTGGGGTAGGAGGTGTGGTGACACACCCCTTCCTTCTATTACAAGGGGGCTTCTTTTCTCAGAGTCCAGACGGTTCCTGGCAGAAGGAATGAGGGTGGGGTGAAGAGAGAGGAAGAGAAGCTCCTGAAAGTGATGGAAATGTCTGCTCACCAACAGAGGAGGGAACTCCTTGGTAGATACCCTGGGCCTGCGGGATGGGCGCTGTTTTAGGCCTTAAGGCTTCTCCTGGGTGTGAGCAACCGACAGGGTAGAGGGCAGGCCTAGCCCAAGTCAAGGAGGTGGCCTCACTGTCTTAGGCCCTCCACTCAGCCAGAGGGCTGACTGTCCAGCAGAGCCAAGGCCAAGGCCAGGAGCTGAAGGGACAGAGGGAGGAAGGCACGTGGCAGGCCATAGCATGGCTCCCTCAGCTTGCCCTGAAGCCAGGTCAGGACCAAAACCCTCTTCAGGCTGGGAATGGATACACGCCTCCGGCCCAGCATCCAGGGAGGTCAGTGCCAGGGGCAGGACCGGGGCAGCACTAGCCCCACCCCAGGTGTCAAGGTCCTGGGACTTCTCTTGTCAGCTCTCCAGCAGGATCAGCGGTCAGTCCCTGCTTTCCCAAGCCTCACCTCCACACTCCCCCTGTGGCAGGGGAATTGTCTCCCCCACCAACCACCTCACCATCTCCCCCTCACGCTCTAGGGCAGGCATCCTTGGCTTTCTCTTAGATTCTAGTGAGGCCAAGAGACAGGTGGTGTGTCCCTATGTTTCAGACATGGGGGAGGAGGGGAAGGTGGCGGCATGCCGGAAATGCAGAGCGTCTGTGCAGGTGGTCATCTGCTAAGCTCCGGGCTTGAGTCCAGCGGGTGGTGGTGGGGAGTGGCATACAGAAAGAGAAGAGGAGAGGATGGAGGGGGAGCCTTGGGAGTGGGCACCTGTAAGCAGGAAAGGGGGCCACAGATGGCTGCAAAGGCTCCCGGAAGCCACAGTTACCCTAGGGCACTAGTCCTAGCTCTGAAATGTAGTCACTTCCCAGCCTCTCACTCATCAAGAATCCCAGGTTTTGAAAGCCAGTCCACATCATCTTCTAATGTTTCCTATTGTTCTAGATATTTGGAAAACAGACTCCTTTTTAGAAGTTGCCATGCTTTTTTCTTGGCTTTTATTAGCATGTGTTAAAATCATATTATCCAAACACTACCAGAAGAACATGGTTTGTTCTGCATAAAGTGCTTAAGGAAAAAAAATGCAACTTATTAAATTGGACATTCTTTTCTAGTTCATAAATTTTGGGTTACAATCAGGGCACAAAAGGAGAAACAGAATGCAGTATTAGAGAGAGCGAGAAGCTTAGTTAAGAACTTGGGTGGAGACACAAGCCCACGTTCCATTCCCCCCACTTCCTTGCAGACAGAACACTGCATCTGCATAAAGCAGCAAACAGCTTTGTTTTAATAAATACATTTTCCTTCATTCAAATCAGAAAAGTTAATTATCATAAAGCACTTTTCCTCTGACCATCTGTTTATAGCCACAGGCAAGATTTATCCACAGAGTTTAAGTGTCAAAGTGTCATTTCATTGGACTTTCAGCTTTCTAATGCTATCTGGGTTCAAGATTGTCTCAGCAATTCATTATTGGTTTATTTATATTTACCTGGTACTTAAAAATACCAACTCTATAGTGTTTTGTGTTACAAATGCCAACAAAGGATATTTTCTCAGTACTAGAAATGTCAGTGAGTGGGCCTAAATAAGGCTTTTATCCCCAGAACACTCCATTTTCTTTATACTGGCTTCTGCACATTAGCACTCTGATGGTTGCACAAAACCCAAGCCCCTGTTGGGACAGATTTTTAAATCAGTAATGTTCTGAAAGAAAAAATACAACTTGGAAATCTCTGTGTTTGAATCTTGGGTGGTCATGTTGAGAACAGAAAAAAAATGGCGTTAAATACATTTTAAAAACATTCATTTGCAATCAAACATATTTAAATCTTCCAAGGAAGGAGCAGGTTGGTGATGGAGTGGCTGCACCGCCGGCAGCTCCGTCAGGAATGGCAGGCGGGTTTGGGAGCCCATCGGGTGCACACACTCAGGGCAAGCTTCTGAGCACAGACCCTGCTTCCTGGCCACGATGCCTCTGAAATTCTTATAGCCGAGGGACAAGGAAGGTTGGTTGTACCTTCAAACAGTCAGGAGTAATCATGTTGAGTTCACCTTGAAGCTGACCCAGAAGTTGGAGCAGGTACCAAGCTAAGGGCTGCCAAAGGGCAAAGCAGTCCTGACTGGAAAAAGCTGTCATCTTCGGTCCTCCCAAGGGGACCCCCTTCCCTTCTCTCGAACTTCAGTGCTTTGGGCTTCATGCAGGAAAAGATCTTAGCCACATCATTTACTAAAATTTCCATCTCACTTTACAAAAGCACACTGAATAGCAGTCCTGAGTGACAAGTATATAGAAGTTGCTGAGTACAGCCGAGAGAAGAACGGCTTTTCTGTTCTCTGCTTCTTCCTACAGATGCATCTGTAGGACATTCTTTAGTTTCACAGTGATATATGCTGTTTCAGGAAGCACAAGGTGATTGGACTTTGTTTCCAGGAAGTGGTGACCTACTTCAGCTGGAGCACAAGTTTCCATGACTGGATCTAAATCCTGCCATCTATTGCTACACCAGTGACAGGGTTTAGGGCAGCTGGGAGGCTCTTGGTGCCCAGGTCCTGCCAAGTGTAGTCCACCAGTCATGGCTGGGTTTCCACTATCAGTAGTTACAATTCCCTTTGATGTCTGTATTTGTCGCCTCACTCCACTCCAACCTGTCCATCTGACTTGGAAGCCTGAGAGCTTATTGAATTAGGCTGAAAAGAGGCTCTGTACCTGCTGATATTGACGGCAGTAAGATGCTAGCTTACTATTTTGCACAGCACCATATGTCATGCCTGTTACTCAGGCCAACTATAGCCAACCTTTTCTTTTTCTTTTTAATTTTTTTTCTTTTTTTTGTTTTTTGTTTTTTTATAAAGAAAATCTATGTAAGTTGAGGTTCAGAAATGCATATATTTTTTACTTACAAATATTTATCTGACCAAAATTCAACATAACCTTTATGGAACACTTAACAATTGTTTTGTTTTTAAAATAACATTTCATTCAAACTGTATATAATTCAGTAAATTTTTTTTTTTTTATACAGCAAGCAATGCTTAAACCCTGGAAAATCTGTAGAAAAGAGATTTTCACACAAAATAAGAAAAGAAAACTCTGAGGTATCCCTCACACACACACATATTCATTCATTCTGACTTTTGTCCACACAGGCGCGCGCGCAGACACACACACACACACACACACACACACACCCCCATTCTCACTCACAAAGTGGCTGCAGCATAGGCAAAAAACTGTAGGTCCAAAGGAAAATAATTGATTGTTCTAATAAAGAGTCCAGGTAGCTCAGAAAGAAACAAAACAAAACACAATAGTCCTCTGAGAAAATTACTACCTCAAAAAAAAATGTTCTCAAGATGAATTTGAGATCTAAGCCTACCAAATTGCTTTTGCAAAACAGCTCCCTGCAGTCCAAGGTGACTTGTGCAAATAGAAGGAATCAAATGAGGCTAGTTCCTGTACTTCCTTTAACAAGGATGTGGGATGCCCGCAGGTGCCCGGGGTGTTCTCATCACGCCAGGTACTGCTGCAGCGCTGTCTTTGCCCTGGAATCACAGAGTTTCTGTTAGCCATCATCTCAGAAGTGTGATCAAGGCTCAAAGATGGCAGCTGGGAAAGTAAAAAAATAGGTTCCCCCAAGGGAACTGGGGTGATGGAGTTGGTGCAGAATGCCTACTATATAAGGGACAAAGATCTGTGGTCAGCACACACTGCAAACTCATGCTGGCTACATCCCCTTCCTGTGGTCCTGCTCTTGTCCTTACAGCTGCTGCAACTCAGACATTCTATAGTTCTCCTTTGTCAAACCTGACCCAGGCAGGGGTGAGGAGGTGCTTATTAGAAAATGCGTGGGAGGAGCCAAGAGCTCAGGGGATGAGGCTGTCGCATGGCTCAAAACTGAAGTAGGGAGGTTACGATTTTATCCTGTCCACGACACTGACTGATGTGGGTTGTTATGGTGATTGGGGAAGGTAGTTAGTTGAAGAGGAAACTCTGTAACGTAGGCCATGCCTTAACCTGTCCTGATCCTTGCAGAAGTGCCTTCCTTTTGAGCTGGGACTGAGAAGGCCTCCTTTACTCTCCCATCATGCACTTGGTCAAGGCTGCAACTGTGGAAGTCAGGTTTTAGCAATGGTCTCTTTCCCCTTCAAAGTTATGGGAAGAAAAGGTTAAGATTTTCTGTCACTATTAGCTGTATACCAAAGCAGACAGGGCATGCAATAAGCAGGACTCAAGTAGTTTCTTTGGTTTAGTAATGGATATAATCCACAGTCTTAAAAGAGGTCAGCTCAGGGATACTCCTGTAATTATTTAAGACTCTATAAAGATGACTGTTGCAAGCAGTCCAATCCATTAGAATAGAAAGCTCCACAGAAACCATTCCAGGTTATGACAAGTTGGGTTCTATGAGGTCGTTTTCGTAGGAAACTGTTTCTGAATAATGCCACAGGCTAACTCTCACTGGCCATAACTTCACAAACCGAGGCCCTCTGAGCCTGGGGTGGAGAGGTCTAGTTGGCAATACATCTATAAAGTGTCTGAAAGTCTAAAGGTCACACAGCCTTGAAGACAGAAAGGACCTTAGAGATGTTGCTGTTAGGTCATAGACTGTGCCATGGTGGGAATGTCTACGTGAGGGTCTTGATCAAAATTCTGCATTACTCTTTAAAACTACCAAATCAGACTCCTTGTGGATCTTTCTAAGGGTTTGGCTATGTTTGATTATACTGGACCTCAGAGACTGTGCCCTCATGATCTTTCTGCTACCTATTACTATCTAAGGAGTCTTTCCAATGGATGGCTTTAAGGCAAGGTCACCTTTCCTTAAATGGACTGAGGTAGAGTAGCTTGGACCTTGATTCTTTTCATGGGGTTTAAGAAATGTTGACAACATATGCGCCATGCAGATTTTGGGCAATACTAGATTGGTCTAAGTAATGTTAGGCCAGAGCTTAAACGTACCCCACTTCATGCTGGTGAGGTCTCTTTTCAGGTCGTTCCAGAGAGGGTTTTAAGCAGAACTATTTTAATTTCTGAACAAACACAAGAAAAAACCCTGGGAACAGCCTGGCTCTTGGCCAGAAGAGATGGGCTGACAGAGTCTGTTACTGTTGCTGTGGAGGCGGAGGTTCCTGCTCTCAAGGTGGAGCTCAAATCCCGCCTTTAGCATGAGCTGCCCTGACTTCAGCGTGCCTTGGACGGGACACTTGTCTGAGCAGCAGCCTGGGGATCTATCTTCTTTAACCCCCTGGACAGCAAGCTTCAGGGAGGCAGGAGCCCAGCTCTGTGTGCTCCATCTGGCCCAGCCATTTACTCGAGGAGCCATTAAACAAGTGCCTCTTCCCTTCCCTGGAGCGGAGAAGCAAGCTGACAGCCGCGACACAGTGTGGTGTGTTCTCTGGGTGCTACGGGAGCACGGAGGGGTCCCTAGCAAAGTCTGGGGGCCAGGGTGGAGAATGGATCCAGCAAGACTTTTCCACAGAGGCGACAACCTGATTTGAAGGATGGTCACTGTCCAGGCATTCTCTGCCTTTGCTTTCAGGACACCTATGTGCCCAGGTCTCTGCCTCTCCCAGTGGTTGTTCTTTCTGACCTTTTGCTGGACTTTTTTCATTCTCTTCTAAGTGCTGGGGTGGAGGTGGGGTATCCCAGTCCATTGTCCTTAGCCCTTCTGTCTTCTCTCCTCTTGTTTATTCTCCCTAGGTGATTCCAGGCAGCTCCATGGTAGATATACCATCCCAATTCATATCTTCAGCCCCTCTCCTCTGAGTCCCATGGACAGCTAATAGCATCCAAAAGCTGTCACACCAAATGACAACTCTTGATTCTCCAAGACTTGATTATCCTTCTCTTCTGTTCTTCTTTGGCATCTTGGCAAATGGTCATCTTGGTAGACCTCTATTCAGTTGCTCAGGCTAAATAAAAACTCTAGGCATTTTTCCTTTCCTCTCTTTAACATCCTACATCAAATCCATGAGCAAATCTGTTGGCTCTGCCTTTATATTAAATCTTGGATCCAACCACTTCTCAATACTCCCACCACTACCCCCCTCCCTTCTCACCTAACACAGCTGCAACAGCCTTGACTGGTCTCCCTGCTTCCATTCCTGCCCTACTGTGAACCATTCTCCACAGAGTTACCAGAACCAGCTTCTAAAAATTCACATCAGATACTGTCTCTTCCATTCAAAACCCTCCATGACCTCCTATTAAACTCTGCATAAAAGCCAAAGTTCATGCTACAGCCTACAAGGCTCTTACTGCCTCCCTATGTCCACTTCCTCTCACTCTCCTGCCCATTTATTTTTCCCCAGTCCCACTGGTCTTCTTGCTGTTTCTTGAATGCTCAAGCTTATTCCTGCCTCAGGACCTTGAACCCACTGTCCCCTCAGTCTGGAATACTATTCTTCTAAACATCTGCTGGGCAGACACTCTCATTTCACCCAGGTCTTAGACCAAATGTCACATCCTTAGAGAGGCTTTTACTGACTAATCTATATGACAAGAAACTTTCTTACTTTCCATCCCCTCATCTTGGTTATACCTTCAGTACCTCTCATTATCTGTGATCACATTACATATTCATTTGCTTATTGTCTGTCTTCTGTACTAGAACGTAAGTTCCATGAGGGCAAGGCCTTCATCAATTTTATTCACCCTTGTATCTTTGAGGCCTGAAGCAATGCCAGGCAGAGGTCAGTATTAAAAAAACAGTACTTGCTGAATGAATGGGAAGTCAGAGGAGAGAGGACTGGGATGGCAAATCTGGTGGAACAGAATGTGTAAACACATGAAGGTGTGATCCTCTAAGAGGGCAGGTGTGGCTGGAGCACAGAGTAGGCATGGGGGCAGGGGAGCATGAGGAAGGCAGGGCCAGACCATGGAGCACTCTGAGACCTGCACAAGAGTCTGCAGGATGAAAGTGAGCTGGAAAGTGAAGGCTGTATTATAAGAAGTGTTCACAGCCAGGAAAAACATTCTTGGCTATCTAGAGGTTAGAGGGGTCTCAGACTGTGACTCTCACCTCCTCTAGTAAACAGTGAGCTCACTAAGGACAGGGACTCCCTACTGGTCACAGCTGCACCCCCAGCAGCCAGGCTGGGCTGGCACAAGGCAGGCACTTCATGAGGTTCTGAGCTAATCAATGTTTTTATAATTAGCCCTCATTTCTGCTCTCCAAAAAACCACATGCATTTCTATTCTAAGGATCAAGAGACTGAAAGGGAATGGCCTCAGGATCCTTTCCAGATTCCCATTATGGTGGCCCAGGCTCACATTCATTCATAGTGAGATGAAAATCTTTAATAATCTGCCAATTATTGGTTTATCTCTTACTCAGATGTCACACAGTTGGCTCACAGATTACTAAAAAGGGAAGCCAAGAATCTAAAAGACTTTGAGTTTGATCCTGTGGCTTACTAAGCAATTTAAACTTTTTTATCAAAGAATTCAACATACCCTAAAGCAAGGACCTTTAACTTTGATACTCACTTGTCACAAAGGTTTGAATCTGGTGACTGACTCAGTTTGTGTAGAATATCTACGATGCCCATGTCTCGTAATTTATCCTGGCGTTCTTGTGAGCCTGAGAGATGAAAGCTAGCAGGTTACTGGGAACATTACCCAGGCCATTGCTCTTTTTAATGTACAGCCAATAGTCTGGAGCCTTACCAGTGTTCCTGCCCCCTCCATCCCCCCCAAACCGGCTCCCCCCAGTGTAACCCAGTCTCCTCGTGCTGGGATTCTCCAACAGTGTTCTAACTGGTCAACTGGCCTCTTAGACCCTCCTCCCTGGGTTCTGCTCCTGGATCAGTTTCTCCACAGACCACAGGGTCAAGGTCAGAGTCTTCAGCTGGGCATAAGGCCCTGTCATCAGGTCTCATCTTCATCACTTTTCTTCTGGACAGACTTAGCCAGGCTCTTCCTACTTCAAACCAGTTTCGTTTCCCACCCCCCTCTATTCACTCCCACTCTCCTCTGATTTCCCAGCACTTCCTGCTGCCTCTGAGACCATGGCAGCTCCAACTCCACACTGCTTTGTCCTGTCTTCCAACTAGATTAGGCCCTCCTTGAGGGCAGCTTATTTCCCAGGCACCTGGGCTGGCACGTGGTCTCTTGGCCTGCACACTGAACCCAGCTCCTCTTTCTGCTTTGTTCTGGACCCACTGCAAAGTGTAATTCCTCCAGATTCTCTCTTCCTCACTGAGGAGCCCACAGTGACTCACTCATGCACTGACCTCCCTGAGACTCAGTGAACCAGAATCTCCAGGGGTGGTGCCGAGAAATCTGCATTTCACAAAGTCCCTCAGGTGATGCTCATGCAGCCAATCCAACACTGAGGCCCACTGCACTCCTCACTACCTTGGCTGTTCATTGGAATCACATGGGGAATTTAAAAAAACCACTTATGCCTGGAGCCCACTTCCAGAGATTCTGATTTAACTGGCTGATGCAAAAATTTCTGGGTGGTTCTGATGCACATCAAGGTAGAGTGCTATAGAGGCTTCCTCACACACTGGTCGCCTCACCAGGCACGGTGTAGTTCTCCCTTCTCACCAACCACCCTCTTCTCCATTGAGCTTACCTGCATGTGGTCCTTCGATGTGCTCCCCCTGCACACAGTGAAAGGTCAACCCTCCCGCCCACTCTCACCTCTCATCTTCTTCAAGTGCATCTCACCATCCTCCTCCTCAGCTGTCTCAAGGGCAAGGGCTGTCACTTCTCTAGGGTCTCCTCCAATCCCCACGCTCAGTACTCTGGAACAGTGCTGACTCCAAGGTGGGGGCTCAATGTTAGCTAAGCCAGCAGATTCTCATTCATACCTAGGAGACTTTGTTGGGTGCTTAGGGCCCAATGAGTGGTGCCTCTACCCAGGATTTTGGAGCAGCTGATGCTGTCCCTGTTTGACACCTTCCTCTCCATAATTTTTTTCAGAACAAATCTCAACAATCTCTTACCTTCCTCTTCATTCCATACGAGGTTTGATATACAAAACATAGCGGCAAGCTGCAATTTGACATGTGAATGACCCTATTTGATGCAGAAACAGAAAAAAAAAAAAAAAAAGGAGGTACTCTCATTTGAGGTAATTTTTTGTATCATACCACAGGCAATTCCAATAGCCTAAAAGTCTGAAGCAGGGGCCTCAAATCCAAATGTCTTGAGGGGTACAAAGTTAGTGCTAATGGGTGAACAGGTTGGGCTAAAGACAACAGAGAGTGGTGGGAAATCTGGTACACCAGGGAGTGAAGGCTTGCCAGGACTCCACACTCAAATTTTAGAGACCCTCAGGCTGGCCAAACAAAACACCTCAAGGGCCACAGGTGCAGTCTGCAAAACTCAACCCATACACACAGGAACACTGGCCGAGGACAAGTCTACGCTTTTGACTATTCTCTGTCCACATCAGGAAGCGTTCAGGGCCAATAAACTAGATGGATTTGCACTTAATATTTATCCCTTTGGCTACTGATTATCTGATTCAAATTGCTCCTGTTTCTCTAGTAACAGCATAAAAAACTTGACTGAGTTTCTACTATTCTTAAGGAGGCTCCTTATTCTTCTAAAACACACTCTCATTTATTTCTCTTCATATACTGAAAGTACAACCATTTTTGCTGAAGTTATTATTTATCCATATAGGGTGCTTTTTCTTAAATGAAAGAGGACCCTAAACATCTTTACAGATGATTTTTTTTTTTGGCTGCACCATGTGGCATGTGGGATGTTAGTTCCCTGACCGGAGGTCAAATCTGCACCCTACAGTGGACAGATGGAGTCCTAACCACACAGGGAGTCCTTCCCTGGACTGCCAGGGAAGTTCATACAGATGATTTTTCAATTGGCCAATTAAAAAAATAAAGTTCTCATTACATTTAAATAACTCATGCATATCTGGGAAATACCATAACACAATATATGCTCAACAGTTTCTTGAAGGCCGGGACAGACTCTTCTTGCCATGTAAAACTGTATCTGAACTAAGCAGAGACAAAGGACGTGGTTTCCTTCATCAGAATTCTATGGCTGGTGATTCTTTTTCCCTCCTGCCTGCCAAGGCTTTTACAGAGCTGTCCAGTTTGCGCTCCACTAAGACAAAACAGAATAAAATGCACCATCTACTCCCAGCATCAGGCCATGAATGAATATTTGCTGAATAAACAAACTTCTTTATATTGCAACACTAAGTATTACATCCAGCATTCACTCAGTGAATTTTGAGAAAACAAATTGCTTGATAGAGAAAACTGAAGGATGAAGTTTTCACTAATTTTAAGTGAAACACAGAAAAGATCTCTTTAAAGGAGGCAATACTTTTGCAGAGGAAGAATAAAAAATAGGAAGGTGCCAGGTATACAAAGATCAAGAGGCACCAAGAAGAAGGGAAAGTTCCTGAAAGGGTTTGCGGTAAGAAGAAATTATAAAGCTGTGCATATTGAGAAGGAAAAGCAGAGTAAAATGTGGAGAAGCAGGCATGGCTAACTGTGGGTCCCTGTAGGCCAGAGTAAGGATGGATTTCACTGAGTTGACAGGAAGCCCTGAAGGATTTAAGCAGTGGAGGCACCACATCTGATTTAAATTTTTAGAAGATCATCCAGGCTGAAGGGATTGGAATGATAGTGCAGAGGTGTCTAGGAGGCTATTATGGTCAATAGGGCATGAGAGGCTGTGGCCTGAACTAGGGTGAGGGTTGTGGTGACAGAAAAAAGTCAACAGCATACAGACTGGTCTTGGGGAAGGGTAACAGGACCTACTGACAAACTGGATTAATGGGGTGAAGGAGCTGGAGAAATCAACATTGACTCCTAGATGTGAGCAACAGCGTAGATGGTAGAGCCACTATACTGAGACAGAAAAGTTCAGGATGGGGAAATTCAGGTTTAGGGGAGATACTTAAGAACTGATTTTTAAGCATCAAGGTCAAGAGGCTTCAGACAGCCACATGGAGATGTGGAGGAGGCAGGAGGATATGAGAGTCTGGAGCTCCGAAGAGAGGTCTAGGCTAGAGGTGTACCCCCCATGTGGCCCTTGGATCTTGCTCCCCTCATGAAGAGAAGAACCAGCATTTGTAAAACTGTAGACACCATCAGAGTAGCTTCTTGTCAAGGCTTAGGAAGGCCATGCTGTTGTGTTTCGCATTGCTTGGTATCAATGTAAATACTGTATGACTATAACACTATAATGACAGTGTAAAAACTATAATGTAAAAACTGTAATGACTAGTCTATCAGAACTGACTACTGAACTGGGGCCCAGAAACCAAACAAAGAACAGAGATGACAGTAAAAGCCACGGGAGTGGATGAGGTTCCCTAAACCAGTGGTTCTCAACTCTGGTTAAACCTAAGAACTACTTGGGGGACTTTAAAAAAACAATGATGCCCAGGCTACACCCCAGAACTATTAAGTCAGAGTCTCGTGAGGAAAGAGGCAAAACAACAGTCTTTGCAAACTCCGTCCACTATGCAACAGAGGTACTGAACCGTCAATCTCAGGACCATATGAGGAAGAGAAGAGAAGAGGGTCCAGGGTTAAGAAGGGAGGCATAATGTCATGGAAGCCAGGGGAAAAGAATGTTTCCAGGAGGAGGAGACAGCCAGCTAAGTTGAAATCTGCTGCGAGTGAGGTAAGATGAGGAAAGAAAACTAGCGTTGGACTTGACATCATGGAGTCAGTGGTGATGTTAACCAGAACAGTTTGAGTTGAGCAATGGGGGTGGAGGCCAGAGGAAGAGGGCTAGAGAGTGAATTTAGAGGTGAGGAAGGAGGGAGCACATTCAGAAGATGCTCTTGAGAAGTCTGGCTCTGAACAGCAGCAGAGAGGCAGGTGTCCTTAATGGGCGTGGGAAGTCCAGAGAAACCTTTACAGCGATCCTACGTGGATCTGGTATTGGAAAGGTGGTGGAGTCCCTGGTTGAAGTTGTACTTTTCCATCAAACACTTACCAAGCATAAAGGCTAGGCACTGTACAAGGTGATAGATATACAACTGAACACAGAACTGACACAATCCTCGCCCTCGTGAAGCTTATGCTCAGTAGGTTCACTAACAAACAACTGTAAGGGGTGATAATTGAGCTACATGCTCTGAAGGGAACAGAATGCAGTAACAAAGAATAACCTGTGCAGACAAGAGTCCAGGAGGAAATGTCAGCTGAGCTAAGATCCAACAGGTGAGAAGGCACCCCATGAAGGAATGGGGAGAAGAATGCTCCAGGCGGAGGGGCGGGCATGTATGATGGGGCAGTCCTGAGGCAAGAAAGAACATGCATGGCCTCTCTGAAGAACAAAAAGAGGCCACACTAGTGAACAAAGGTATGAGGGGAAAGAAAGGAGCTGGGGGCACAGATGAGCCAGGTCATGTAGGTCTTCACAGACAGCAAAAGGTGGGGGGAGGATGGATTTTATTCAAGGTGCAATAGGGAACCACTGAAGGACTTTGGCTTCTATTTCCTTCATAAAACAAAAGGTGAGGTCACCCCCAGGAGTGATGAGGGAGAGAGGAGGTGAGATCTAAAGAATGAGAAGGTCTAAGAGCCCATTCTTGTGGAGAATGGAGGTCCCAGCGTGCTGAAGCAGAGGGGGACACCAAGCAGTGCAGAGTGCACACATGGGTGTGAATTTAACAAGAAACTAGTCCGTCTGGTTTTGTGCCTTTCTGTATGGTTGTTAACTCCGCCAGGCAGGCAAAGAGAAGACAGGTTCATCCACAGTTAGGGTTTCCCTAGGGGACACTGACAGAATAAAGAGAGGAAGCATGTCTAACTTCCAGATTTTGGCAAGGGGCAGTTTCTGGTGATGACAAGATCCCGGGTAAGGCTTTGGCAGTACATAGCTGAGGTGTCCACAAGTAGGTAGCAGATTATAATTGAAAGCAAACTGGTCAAGGAACAAGAGCCAGAGGTACCAGAAACTAGAGGGTTCATCTGCACAGGATTGAAGCTTTGAGATGGAAGACAGGATTAGGGGCACTAAGAGAAGGCCAAGGGCCCAATTTCTTCACTGTGTAAGAAGGGTGCAATCAGATGACAGGGTGAAAAAAGGGGTGATGAGTGGGAACCCTGCCCAGTGGTGCAAGCCTCAAGGGCTTGGTGTTTCATTTTTCAGGATGGAAGAGGATTTCTGGAATTGGTTACAGAGGAGTCTATTCTTTGTTTAATTTCTGCACAATTTGTTTTGAGCTAACAGCGCTACCCATCCTCACCTTCTAATGTGCAGCTAGTTTAGAGTCATGCAAGGGACAAAGGCCTACCATATAATACTTAATTTTCTGTAGGATGTCATCATTGGTCATAATAAGTTCTTTTGCCGTTGTTCCATCTGCTATGTTGGCTAAGATGCACAGTGTCTGGAAAAGAACAAAGGGCGGGAGGTCAGGAAAGTTCTGAAGTCCCCAGACTCAAGCTCTTTCAAGAACCTGGGCAATTTCCCACCTGCAGTACACGTTCCTGATTCTCACATGTTCCCCTCTGAATGCCCTGATTTCTTATCCCCTAAAGACACTACCCAAAAAAGTAACCACACCTAAGAAAAGTCTGCCTTAGGTAGACGAGAACCCAAATGTTTCAGAGGCTTCTTTCTGGGCATAAGAAAGAGCCTGCTCTTGTCAGCTGTTACAGCCTCACAGCCAGACCAGCAGGTGGCAGGGATTAAGGTAAAGGTGAAGGGCCTGTGGCAGGGATACTGAGCCAGTGCCAGCCCCAGCAATTCCACAAACACTGGCTGAGCACCTGTAATGTGCCTGAACTCTGCCCACTCCACTGGAACAGGCTGACTTAGGATCAGGACACACCCCCAACTCCAAAGGCAAACACATGGTTACATTTCACTGTGGTGCAACTGAGGTGAAAACAGGACTGAGAAAGCACTAAGTCTATCTGTGATAACACGAGGGCAGGGGAGGGCCAGGGAAGGAAGCGACGCCAAGTCCTTGAGCACAGTAAGGAATCACTCAGAGAAAAGTGACCAGAGGTGGAGATGGGGTCTGAATTCAGATATATTTTCTCCAATTTTAACCTTTTTCTTTGCTAGACTCTAGTTAGTTAAGCTTACAGGTTATAGCTAATTGAGGATGTTTCCTTCCTATAGCCCAAACCCTCAGATATCTTAAAGGGGATATGGTCTTATTTTTCCTGGGTTAACAACACCACAGTGATTAGATTGTTAAGGAGTGAGTACTGAGGTTGTCCCTAGGATACAGGAAACAGAAAATGGACCATTTATGATCCAAGGCACTGGGGGACTATTATTCCAGGGTACTTAGATCATAATGAGGAGACCCTGATATGCCCCACATGTGGGAGAGAGATGACCTGAGGAAGACATCAGATTTCAGTGACCTGGTACATGGTGAGCCTGTCAGAAGTCTTGACAAGCACAACACCCTTGAATTTTTCAGGACTGAGGAGGCAGCAAAGGGGAAAAACAGGATTGGACTCTAACTGTGAACAAGAATTTAGACTCACCTAGGGAAGAACTACCTCTCTCTTACCTACTAGGACAAGGGATAAAAGGGAGGATTTCAGGAAACAGCCCTCAGAATAGACTAGGCCAGCAAGATAGGCAAGTGATTCCCCTTCTTGCAGGTTAGAATACACCCACGCATCCTCAGGCTTGTCCAGCATGGCGGAGTGAACTACAGTTCTGCTCTCAAGCCCACACACTCCTACTGTGAGTATTCTGATGGAGACAAGAAACCAAATCTTAAAGAGAACTAATTAGTTCTTGGGCCAAGCCAATTTAACACATAAGCTAGGGAGCAGAGATAAAAGCAACACACACACACATACATGTTTTCATGTGAACAACTGGAAATCAATGATACAGAGTAATAATTGGCAAATTATGGCCTGTGGGCTGAATACAACCCAACCCAATACCTGTTTTGGTAGATAAAGTTTTACTGGAAGACAGCCACATCTACTTGCTTACATATTGTTCATACCCGATTCCAGGTTACAACATCGCAGTTAAGAAGTTGCTACAGAGACTGTATAGCCTGCAAACTTAAAATATTTACCTTGCCCTTTGTAGAAACAGTGTGCTAAACCCCTGAAATGGATAATGCCGTTTTAGTATGATGCTGAATAGAAGTGGTTAGAATGGAACACATCTTGTATTCCTGTTTTAAGGACAGATAGATATGTTCACTATCGTGATCACAGTGACTGTTTTATGGCATAGACATATGTCAACTTATCACACTGTATGCTTTAAATATATGTACCTTATTATATATCAATATACACTGGAAGGACTGATGCTGAAGCTTAAACTCCAATACTTTGGCCACCTCATGCGAAGAGTTGACTCACTGGAAAAGACCCTGATGCTGGGACGGATGGGGGGCAGGAGGAGAAGGGGACGACAGAGAGTGAGATGGCTGGATGGCATCACTGACTCAATGGACATGAGTTTGAGTAAACTCCGGGAGTTGGTGATGGACAGGAGGCCTGATGTGCTGCGATTCATGGGGTCACAAAGAGTCGGACATGACTGAGCGACTGAACTCAACTGATACGTCAATAAAATAGAAAAAGAGAATGTATCTTTGATTCTTTTGAGAAGAACTAAACTTCTAGCTAAAAAGCAGACAGTTTAAGCCTCCCCATAGTCACCCACACTTCCCATTACCCAAACCTGTGTGAGTGGGTATCACTGGATTCTGCTGAAACACCTTATTGTTGTTGGTCTTTTCTTTTGCCCCCATCCAAATCTTGCCTCACCTTTCTACCTTACTTCGCTTTTCAAGTTAGTGAAATTCTATCTAGGCGAACTGTCTTTATAGACAAATTTCTATGCTCTCCATGTAGAATAGTTTATTTTGAACATTGTGTCTTCTTTATAGAAGCAAATCTCATCTACCCTAACTTTAGTGATGCCTACAAGATCATAGTTTTTCTGTGTTCAATTTTTGTTCATCAAAAAATATAGTTGTTCATTACTGAATTTGAATAAGAATCACCAAAAATGTCTGTCTAAAATCACTTTGTCAAATCTATCACCTTTTTTGCTCACAAATTCCAACAAGGCTCCCAAGTCCTACTATTCTTGCCTCCTGGACTGCTCTTCTGAAGCCTGATGAATTGCTTTAACTCAGGAACACAGAGGAAAAGGAAGTGGGCCCTGCAGTTGGACTTTGGGTCCAACTCTCCACAGACGACCTTGGGCAAGTTTCTTCCGTACATGTAAGTGTGCAGCTCAATGAACTGTGAAATGAACATACCCATAGAGCCAATATTTAAGTCAGAAAGTTGAACATTACCATTATCTCAGATCTTGTGTTAAAAATATGAGTGCAGGTGACTTTTTCTTATATGACAAAATGTCATATATACTATGTTAAAAATCTTGTAATAAACTGCAGGAACTAGAGAAAAGTAATTCCCAAATTGTTCCCTAATGAACATACAGCTTCTGTATTTTCATGTCTATCCTAAACTTGCTCTATTGAAACACAACAGAAAGAAGGGGTATGGGATAGAAATAAGGAAGAGGGATGTATGAGAGTAACGAAATAAAAGATGTCTCCAGCATAAGGGGTTTTTCATCAGGAAGCTGCAGGAATTTGGTTCAGAGCATAGTGATATGGAGGGCTAGAAATGCGAATCCTGGGAAAAGGATTCACTCTAAGATGGTCAGAGGTGTCCATCCCCCATAGAGACAGACAGTATGTATAGTGCATGACACAGAAGGTAAAACTATAGACTCTGGTCATATCTTCTTCCATTCCAGGAGGAAGAATTCTTGAAAAGAGTTTCAGGGGTGGCTGAGGGTCTTTTCCTTCAGACCCTTCCCATGTCTATAGCATTTCTGAACTCAGCACAGTCTTTTGCAACAGAGTAAACTCAGGAGGTTCCTAACTACTATTCCTCTTGGTACTCACACTCAAAAGATATTCCTCAAAAAAGAAAAGGGAACACATACCTGCTCTTTGACTTCAATGTTATGCTCCCCTTCCAAAATAAGGGTGACGGCTTGCATAATTTGCTTTCCATGAGTACTCATTATTTTATCTATGTGCTGCAAAACAATGGGAAATCCACAATTATCATCTGGAGAACAAAGAAAAAGACAACAGGAAAGAACAGAAGGCTTCCAAAAGTTAAAGAATACAGTGCAGTACACATCTGCTTCAAAGAGAACACCATGAGTATAGGACCAGAGGCCACAGAACCGTGTTTATAAGTATGTTGTTGCTGTTCAGTCACTAAGTTGTGTCCAACTCTTTGCAACCTCATGGACTGCAGCATGCCAGGCTTCTCTGTCCTCCACTATCTCCCAGAGTTTGCTCAAATTCAAGTCAATTTACTGCATGCTGCCGATATATTGTGGGTTTTTTTTTTTTTTTAATAAAAAAAAAAAATTGAAGGTTTGTGGTAACTGTGTGGAGCAAGTCTATCGGTGCCATTTCCCCAACAGCATTATTTTTTAATTAGGGCATGTTAACAATATATTTTCTTCTTAAGACATAATGCTTATTACATGCTTAACAGACTGTAGTGCAGTGTAAATGTAACTTTTATATGCACTGGGAAATAAAAAAAAATTCTTGTGACTTGTTTTATTGCAGTGGTCTGGAAACCAAAACCAGCAGTATCTCCAAGGTGTGCCTATATTATGTTGTGAAGCTGTATTTTGCCTTCAATTTTTTGCTGTTGATGACTTCAAGATGAAGATAGCAGAGACTTGGCCTGACAAAATATAGAACTGCAATCACTGAAGATTCTTGAGCCCAAAGATACTAAATAGAAAAGAAGCTAAAAAATGGATGGGGGAAGGGGAGAAGCCAGGGACCTAGAAAATATGGTGTAGATTTACTAATACTCTTTTGGGGCACAAATGTACAGAAAGGACTCAGAACACAAGTGATGCACACAGAAGGGAACCACCCATGTTTCTTTATTTGCCTGAAGGCCACTGACCCTGCTGCTTAGGGAACATTATAGAGAACAGCAAGAAAGACCCCACAACAAGGCTCAGCCTCTCCGGCTCTGACATATGCCCACCGCTCTCTATGCTGACACCTCTAGAGGTCAGTCCATTCAATGTGGGCAAGGAGATGGCACTGGGTAGTCTCTCAAGGGACAGCAGCTCAGGCCCCAGAGATAAGTGATTTAGGCAGATGAGAAAACTCATTCTGGCCGGCAAACCAAGTCAGAATAAAGCAACAAAGGCAGGCTCCCATCCAGCACGTAGGACCAAGAGGGAGACAGGACAGGCAGTGCAGGATTGGAAGCCACATGGTGAAGCAGCTCCAGGAAGGTGACAGGTCTAAATATCAACTCCTGGCTTCTCTGGCAAGGGGCAATCCTTGGATCATAACTTCTGGGCAGATGTTGATGGGAGCAGAGAGGCAGGGCAGTGCTCTGTAATGTATATGCCAGGCTAGTTAATCTGGAAACTGGGGTGATTTTACTTACAGGGCGAGTAGAGAGTAGGTTTCTAAGAAGTCCCAATGTCTTCATCAGCACATTCAAGTCTGAATCTGATAATAACCGGAAGAGCTGTTCAGTACTCAAGCTTCGCAAAATATCTGCTTTTATTTTTTGTTCAGCCTGAAATGCCATATTCTGGAAAGATTAAAGAAGTTTCAAGAATCACATCTACATTTGCTTTATTAAATTATATTTTAATAGTAATTCTCATAATTTTTGAAGTATAAACAGAATCTGCAGAACATCCTTAAGGATAAGCCACATTATTTTTCTAATTCCTGTTAATCACATATAATTCTGTCTGTCAAGAGAAAAGTTAACTGTCACTCCTATACATACTCCTCAATGAGAAATACGACCACTTTCTGACATGGCATTTTCATGTCTTAAGATTTCTCAAATAAATAACAAAATCTACTATTATAATTTTTTAAATTTCATTTATTTAGTTCAATTTATTTAAAGTACAAAAAAAAAAAAAAAACAGTTCACCCATTTCTCCCATCCCCTCCCTCACCTCTGGAACCACCAATCTGTTCTCTGTATCTATGAGCTTGGTTATTATTTTCAAGAATACCCTTCTGGCTATCAAGTTGCTTTCTGTGCACTTCAATAACGAAATGACTTCTAACAACTATACTGTGACAAGTACTTTGAGAAACACTTAAAGCTACTCCTCTATTATGCATGAAAATAAACAGTGGGTTTTGTTAACTTTACTGGCACAAACTACCTACTGCATTCACAGTTCTCTGTTAGTGCTGTTACATGCAGGAGGTTCTTGGGGGTAGAGATGTACCCAAGACCAGCAGCCCCAGATGGCCTTTGCTCCTTTTTCTCCTTTCTGGACATATTATAGCTTACCCTAGCTTAACCTGAAACTATAACAACATGTCTGAAGGGATTAAAAAAAAAAAAGGCAAATTCCAAATAATTCATAAGTCAACTTCTGGTTTAAAAATCTCTTGTAAACTACAGACTTATACTATAATATGTGGTTATTGCCCTCCAGGAACTTTTTGAAGTTAAGGATCTAAGACATATGAAAGATGAAATTCCAAATACAGGCAACATGTCAGAGCAAAAAGAGTACTGGGTTGGGTGTCAAGAAACCCAGGCCAAAGAGAATTCCAAGGTTTTATATTCTGTGAATGAGAACATAATAGCTGGTAATAAGGAGATTGATGAGAATAAGACAGTTAATATGAATTTGAAGACTGGGGTAAGTTTAGTTTTCAGCATTAAAACTGTACTTGTTACAGAGCCCTCAAATGAAGTCCCATTAGCCACTGAAGTGACGACCTGGGAAACAGGGAACAATTATTTCTGGATATGCATATTCCAAAGCAACCTCTTCTGTGAGGGGAGCTGAAACCATGAGAGTAGATGAAGACCCTGAAACTATAGTGTAAAGGAAAGTGGAAACTGGGAAATGAAACTTGGGGGAATGTCTCCTGAGAAAAGCTTGAAAAGGAGGCTGAGTACAAAGTGAGGGGGAAAAAAATTCCTGGGAAAGAGTTTCAAGAAAGAGAAAGTCCAAAAGCTGTTAAGAAGAAAAATAACTGAACCTGATACACTCAGTGCTTTCCTGAAAGATGATTATTTCCATTCCAAAATTTGGGTAAAAAGACAGCAGACACAGCACAGTACCAGAGGATGAACACAAGCCGGGGACAGGCCCAGAACCCATTTCTAGCATGTATTAGCTGTGAGGCCTTAGATGATTCGTTTACCCTCTCAATTCCATTTTCCCAATTGCAAGGTGGATCTATACCAATACAATGTAAATAAAAATTACAGATAGCAAGTATAAACTCTTAGCTTAGTTTCTGGAATAATGGATTGAATTATAACTGCTATAATTATGTTTTAAAAATTCATGTAGAATTATGCTTTATTTTCAATTTCAATAGATTTTATTTTAAAAAATTTTAAGGAAAAATGGTTTTCTGACTTCATAGTTACACAGCTTTAGAATTCAGATTATTACAAGTTATTCACTAGAAACTGCTAAGAAATTATTAAGCATGTATACCCTAACTCTGTTACCTTGGGCAAGTTGTTCAACCACTCTGTGCTTAGTTTTATCATCTGTAAAATACGTATTCTCTAGCTTACTTCACCAAGACATTTTAAAGGAGACACAAAACCACCCTGTAAAGTATGTAGCTCTACACAGATATCAATGAGTTCATGATGAGGAAAACTTTTTCCCCAAAATTCTACTTTTCTTAATAAATAGCAGAACCAAGGAACACAGTGGCCAAGCAACTTGCTTATATTTGAATCTGAAAGGTGAATGAAATCTTTTAGGTCCTAAGTCTTTAGAAAATTGAGCCAAAAGAGTTAAGATTTTTAAAAAAGAAAATTTCAGACATTTCAAATAACACATTCTTCAGTTTTAACTTCAGTAACTGCTTTCTCCTCTTTGTGAAACATACCATTAAAGCCCAAATTCCATTCACTCGTAAAGCAGGATTTTCACTTTGGGTTAGTCCACAAAGTAGCTCTACAGCTCCTGACTCTAAAATTGGCTGTGATTGGAAAGGAGAAAAAACAGTTTTAAAGTCAGGTTTGTAAATGAAGTGTATATAATACACACAGCCTGGCACTCTGCCTATGATTTCTTTCCTCCTCTTACCAATTCCAAGCAAACTTCACAAGGCAGGGAGCGAGATGGCCACAAAAATCACCTTGAGAAGGGCAAGCGTAGGGACAATGACTCACAGATCCAAAAGCCAAAGTAAAGCCTGTTGTCTTTTTTCCTGTAGTCCTGAAAGACTCAGGAGATATCCTACTTCTGTGTACATTCACTCTTGCCCTTATGATCCGTTACCTAGTTCCACACTCTCTCCACCCTCCTCTGAGACAGCCACTCCCTGCTCTGTGCAGCATGTGCCCCAGTGTTCTTCACAAACTGTGACTACGAAGTGACATGGCTGGTTTAGAACAGAACTAACTTCCTTCCAAACTGTTACTCTTATTCATCAATGTGCTGCAGAATCCAGCTTTTGAAACTACTTTCGGGACTACCTATCAATCATACAAGCAAAATAGTCTTGTACTTTTATAGTCAAGTACAGGTATAAATATTTAGCCAAATATTTTAGGTATTAAATGTGTCACATTTAATACCTAAAATAGCATGTATTAGTCTGACAATTTGCTTTATTTATGATACTTGGCTGAAAATAGGTTTTGATAGTTTCTAAAAAATTCAAATCTTAGAGGACTGACTTACCATCACCAACAAATGCTTAAAAGGTCTATTTTTGAAGTGGGTTCTAGAAATGTCTTAAGCAATTCAGACTTGCATACTAAGACAAAGGTCAGTGCCTTTCAAGATGACATTTTTGAAGAAAGATAAATTTTACTAGTACAAACTGTAAAGTTTTAAAAACCTTTTTATTTTAAAATAAGTTTAAACTTATAAGGTAGCAAGACCAATTTAAGGAACTTCCATATATTCTTTTCCCAGACTCACCTATCTTTAACATGTTGCCATATTTGTTTTATCATTATGTCTCTCATTCTATACACCCATACCCACATTATTTATCCTTTTTCTGAACCATTTAAAAGTAGAATGAAAACATCATGCCACTTTACCCTGAATACCTCAATGAGTATGTCCTAATAACAAGGATATTCTCTTAGATAACCACAGAACAGTTACCAAATTCAAAGAAACTGACAGTAAAACAGTACCTTTATTGAAACTATAGTCCATATTCCAATTGTGTCAACTAGCCCAATTAATGCTTATACCATTTCCTTCCCTTCCAGTTAAGAATCCAGTTTATTTTTAATACTAAAAAATCAATCATATTAATGACTCTACCCCAGAGCCCATCTACCTTCCTTTCTAGCTAGACCCTAAATATTCTGAAGGTAGCTGTTCAGGATGATTAAAAGCGTCACACTGACTGCAACCACATCATCCTCAGCAGAGACAGGCGCTCTGGTGTCCTATCCTGCCTCTCCTTCCTTCAGAACAACTACCAGTCTCTCCCAATTTGTCCCAAGATTTCTACTTGCTGAATGATGGTCTCTGAACCGCCATCTCATTACTAATGTCTTCCTAAATACTGGTCCAAAGCCTGAAGTATTACAGTGCAGGAAAGAAATTCACCAAAATGGGACACTAAATGCACTTAATAACGGATGGTGTCCAAACCTAGTTCATGATTAGGCAGGCCAGAGATATTGCTGCAACACTGTAAAACTAATTCTATCAGGTAACCTCTTCCCTTTATTAAAGCTGATTTCCACTTTTTATTTCCATTTTCTCTCTCATAAAAACAATGCGCACAAACAATTTATAAAATGCATATAAGGGGGAAAAAAATCCCAAATGTAAACCCTCCCTAAGTAAGTACCATTAACATTAAAAAGATTACTTTTCAAAATAAAGCTTTTAAAAAAAAAGATTACTTTTCAGGGCAAGCAGTTATCTCCTTACAATGATATGTAATCTTGGTTTACAAAATTGGGTCTTAATTTATTCTTTAATAAATATAATTTGAAAATAGTCTATGACTTGTGTAATTATTTTCTACATTTACAATTTTAGACAGTTCAGAATGACTATAAGCTATAATATCTTTAAAATAAACTGTATATGCCAGGCAGAGAAGGGATAACAGGGAATGACAACTATATTTTAAAATTAATTTAATCCCCCCTCAACATCCAACATCCAAACAATTCAGAAGTAGTTTTAAACCCCAATCCTCAAATTTTAATGTCAACTACTGTGAAAATTATTTAATTAAGCTCTAGACTGGGCAGAAGTCATCTAGGAAGAGAAAATCAACACTAACCTCTTTGCTTGGAGAAAATTCAAGAAGAAGATTACATAGCATGGATGATGCTACTACTAGGATTTCATCTGGTGCATTTTGTAAAACCTACGGAATTAAAAAAAAGGATACTATTAATAGTTTGCAATCATGCAGGTGAAATCATTAGAATAAATGAAAACAAAAACAATTTATCTTTTAATCTGATTTCTCATCTTGGAGAGAGAGGAAAGATCCACTTGACACTGACTGAGTGAGACTTTGCCTAGTGCTGTCATTATGACTGACTAAGGCCCTCAGGTCTGTCTTGCTGGAGAACTACAGCTCACGGCTACACGGAAAAGGAGACAGACACGAGTCAGGGATGGGGTGCTCTATGTAAAAAGTTTGAAGACCAGAGAACTGCTCTGAGGCAAGTTAACCCAACTGATTCTACCACATCAGGCACTTATGAAACCACAGAACTGCCCGAGGGCCTGAGCCTTTCCATTGCTTCTGGAAGGACCCGTCTGAACAGCATTGTGGATGGATCAAACTATGACACAGGAAGAGCAAGGTGAAGGATTGGTCCTCAGGACTGGAGTCACGTAGTCCTGGCTCCAACCGTCACTCCTCCAGTTACCAGACGTGTGAACTTAAGCACATTTCCTAACCTCTCTGAGACCTCACACTGAAGAAAACAACACTTCCTGGATGGGAATATTTAAGATTAAATGTCATTTGCTGAATAATAAGGGAAGTGGCATAGCATGGAAATGAGAACACAGAATGCCTGAGTGCAAATTTCAGTTCAATTACTTAATAAGTTTATGAATTTCTTGCCTGTAAAATGGGATAATAACAGAGTCTGCTTCAGGGATTTGTATGAAAATTAATACATAAAAGGATTTTAGAGCAGTAACTATCACACAGTAATGGCTATACATAAGTAAGGTTTTAAAAAAGGTAATTCCTTGCCATAATTGCTACCAGGCACAATATCAGACTCATACAAGTTATACAGCAAACTATCATGGACTCTTGCTGAACTTAGAGAAGACAACACAGCATGATGACAAAGGTTAATTGCCATTAGCTATTATCAGAACCCCTTCCTTCTAGATTCAAAGAGAGAAGGCTTCATAAGCAGCACTTCAAAGAAATCCTTTGCACTTGGAATCAGACCAGGATCAGGCTCATGACCCCAAAAGGAATCCTAGGAGTTCTAGTTACACAAAATGGAAATGGATCATTAAAAAAAAAAATTCAGAGAGTACAAAATCAAAGCAATTCTCCTAAAATACTGTGTTTTAACTCTCCTGTGAATTGTTAGCTGGGTGATAAAGATCAAATTTCATATACTATGCTGGCCAATCTCTGTGTTCGCCATAATCTACCCTAAGACCCTGTTCACCCTTCCCTTCCCTTGTCATGTCCTTCCTACATCTCTATCCATGCTTTAAGGTCATCTTATTCCAGAAGCCTTCCTGAAACCCTTCCAAAAAGAAGTCATTCTATCTTCCTGAGTGTCCACTGCTACTGTCTGTGACCTTTCTTAGGGCCCGTATTACCGTCCACTACTCAAATTCTTTGTGCAGCCCTGCCAATCTCCTTTCCTACTTACAAACTAAAGCTTTTTGAAAAAATAATCTATAATATCTATAGTTTAATTTATCCAGGCCTAAGAGGCACCGCACAAAGTAGGCACTCAAAGAACGCTTATGAATTAAGAGAAATAATGATTTTCCAAAATTATACTACTTAGAATCATTGGTTGAAATAAGTGAGTGCCAAACAAGGCTTTAAAAAGTTGCTTTGTTTCTGGTCTATGTGTTCAGGAATTTACAATAATATGAATGCAGGGTAGTGTATTTTAGGAGGAGGGGACATTCTGTGTCTTGTTAAGAAAAAAAAATGACTTTCAAAATGTGTATTTTTTTTTAAAGAACCATTAATAAATAGTTACTACTTGTTTTACAAAGTTGCTTTACTTTTATGATTCATTTAAAAAAGTATTATTTGTTTTACAGAGATTCATGTGCTTTTACCAAGTTTTATTCTCAAATTAGATAACACTAAATGATAAAACAGAAGAGATGCTAGAAAAATTCAAGAAATTCTTGAAAGCATTTACTCAGTACAGTATCAGATATAACACATGAAATTTAGAAGCTGACATCCAACACTGACCAAACAGAATTTCACCAAAAAAAGAACAAAAAATAATCCACAAATGAAAGTTTTAGTTAAAATTGAATGCCTACTCTCCTATAGTTGGCTAATCAACACGTAAAAACACAGACAAGAAAAAGGGGGAAAAGAATCAATAGACATGCAAGCAATCTCTGAACTAAGAAAAACCTAAAAGTACCTGAAATAAATCACTCATTTACTTTCAGGCTTTTAATACTATACTTTAAATGTGCAACACAGTAATAATTTGATGGTAATTACACCCACATGTACCCAAGTGCACAAATCCTTTTAGACTGCTCACCCAACTTGTGCCCAGGCAGAACTAGTCAGAAACCACATGTTGCTCCATTTCTGATTCATATGATAGAGGGGTACTGAGCTAAGCAATCAGAAAATGGCTCCAGAGAAAATATCTAGAAGTTATTTTGGGAAATAGGAAAGCACTTTAAAAAAAAATCTTGAATGGACAGAATCAATAAACTAAGGTTAAGTTGCTACAAAAAAGGTGCAATCTAAGAACAAGAAAGAGTGGCAACAGTAAAATCCCTTTCCTGGGGAGAGCACTGGTCCAACCCTTCCAGCTGGTGCCCACTGTGCACCCTCCACCACAGTCCTGAAGGCTAGCTCAGTCCTCCCTCACACACCACGTGTAATGCTCCTGCTCTTCAGGCTGTTCCTCTTGAGGAAATCCTCCTGCCTTCCTTCTGCCTTCAAAGTCACTTTATATCTGACAGAAGCCTCCCCCAGCTATTCTGACTAAGTCTACCACACAGAAGCCTCTACTGTAACCGAGGCTTTAAGCTGAGGGCAAGAGCTCTGGAGTACAAATTTTTGGTAGACTTACTGTGCCCAGAGGCTTTCACAGTAGGTACTAAAAAGCAAAACAAAAAGCCAAAAACTTAGACAAAAAAAATCCGCAGATCAAACGCAAAGTATACAGTTGCTTTAAAAAAAAAGAAAAAAGATACTGAGACCACAGTGACCTGTCATTCTGTAATGTATGAGAAATAACATTATTAGCAGAAACCTGATGCATATTCTAAGTCTCAATTCAGAAAATTCTTTGACGTATACCATCCTTTTTTGTGTGTGTACCCTCAAAGGAAAGACCATTAGGTCTCAACAAAGAAGTCTTTCTGGAGTGGGGAGGCAGGAAGTAACAACTTTTAAAAAATATTAAGGGAGTGCCAAAAGACTAAGAACAGGTTATATCTGTAAATGGCTGATTCCTTTCTTTTTTATAACTAAAAATCACAAAGATGACTCTGGATATAAGCCTAAAGTGTAATACTAGTCACAAAGGGAGATCAGATGAGTAACTGAAGTTTTATTTAATGGAAGAAAGCCAGCTGCCTACTTCCTTTGTCACACATGAGATGCTGACCTCAGAAACACAGTCCGCATGTTCTAAAGAGGCTGAGAACATCAGATCTGAGGAGATAAAAGTTCACAACGCTTTAACATAAAAATCAGACACACTCCTAGATCAGGGAGAGCTGTCAGCTACCTTGCCCACTAATGGCTCTGCAGGAATAGGTGTGGACTTGATGTTTTCTTACCTTCATTAAAGGTTTCCACACAGCATGATCCTGGAAACTGGTTCGAAGCTGCTGCACAGATCTAGATAAACTGTGCAAACATCTACAAAGAATAATCAAAATTAGCTTCACAAGAAGCCAAAACTTTTCCTTTTAAAACACACTGCTGGGCATTCCACAATCACTAATATACATTTCAAGTTTATCTACACACATCGTTAATTCAACTACTTCAGGACTTCATGGGCTTTTCAAGCTAACTTCTTTGTTAAATAGTGTTACACACTGTATGAATTCACCTGAGAATACTGTCAAGTAACATTTGGATTCTGTGCTTACTCGGTGAAGGTCCGGAAAGGAAACAGGTTAAACACATGGCAAAGAATTTTTATTCAGGCCATTTAAAGCTCATACCTGACGGCAGCTAACCGCACCTTGACACTAGACTCAGACAAGCCAGTCACAATTCGGTCCATCATATTTTCAGTCTCAATGATCTGGAGAAAAAGGTTAATGCTGCATAAATAACAACACGAAGATGACAAATTTCACCGCTTGTAAATGCAAGTATGTTAATGTCCATTTTACGTTTAATGTTGTTTTTAGCAAGAGTTTTGGCCTCTGGAACAATCACTTTGCAGCGGGGGCAGACAGCTGATCAGAAAGGTGGGACTACCCCACCAAGGAACTGCCAGGCAGAATGGTAGGCGTAAGGGGCAGATTATGTTTTCTTTATTTTTAAAGACACTTAAAAGAATAATTACATGTGAAAAATACTGTGATGGTGTTGCATAAATAGTTTTGAGAAAAAGCAAGATATAACTGAACTACCATTGGGCAGGTTCCTGCCAGAGTGAATTTCTCGAAAAATCATAGTCCACACTCAGTCTTTAAGAAATCTGTGGGTTTTTGACAGAGTCACCCTGTGGCCACTCTCTTACCAAGCAAACTGAAACTAAGCTAAATATTTAGAAAAGTAATCTTTGTCAACTTTCATTGTAACACAAGTCCTGCTACTTATAATCATTACAGTCATGAAGCTTTATTATTTTTTAAATTTAGAAAAAAGACAGCCTATGATTTTCCATCAAGGAACAATGTAGAGGCACAAAATAGTATGTGGAAGAAATTAATTTGTGTGGTCCTATGGAAAAACAGCATAGTAGAAAAAGAGCTAATGCAATCACAACACAAATATTAACAAAAACAACTAATATATGTTGAGCACTTCTATGTGGCAGGCATTGTGCTAATAAGTATGTTACATGCTGAGAATTTAGCCTTTTGTAGGCATTATTATTCCCCATCATCAGCACATTAGGAAACTGAGGAGTCTAGATAATTCAGAGTTTGCCTAGGATCACAGAGCTGAGATAGGAATCCAGGCATCAGACTCTGGAGTCCTCATGAGCAGCCACACTTGTAGTACTGCCATGGTTAAAGAAGGGGTGGGTCTGGGCTCATCAGGTAGCTCCTAGTGCGGGCAACACAACTGGAATCATTATTTTCACCCGGGAGAACACCTGGTTGGGGAAACATGTACAAAGATCACCTGTGGAGTTTAACAAATTCCCAGGCCAATTAAATCAGATTCTCTGTGCTGGGCCAGGCACCCGTATGTTTTTAAAAAGCTCCTCAGTTAGAGTCCAGTGTTCAGCGAGGTTGAGGGTCACTGACCTAGATTAAGATGAGAGGCGTTAGAAGCCTGACCTCAGAACAGGAGAGGATGGGAAATCTCAGAATGTTCAAGCCAAATGGGAAGAGAAGAAAACAGAATTGAAATGAACGGTGCCTGGGAGAGAGACCATCAACTATTAAAAACAGGCAACCACACTGCAGTCGTAGGGCAGGAGGAATGCTCATTTAAAAAAGAAAAAAGGGAAAACAAAAGTAATGATTTGCAGGTTCCAAAGTGGTTGATGAAAACTTACATGTTGATCTATTTCTCACCCTAGACCAAACCTCATCTCATCCTTACCTTTGTGCACATCCACCCTCTGTCCTCACTGTCATCTCCAGCCCCTGAACACCACCATTCTCACTGTCTACTGATCAACCTGACCCTCATATATCTCTCTTTGACCTGGATGTCATGCTCAGATACTCCATACGGTAGACTCCTTTCCACTGTCCTCCCACCACTCAGTCCTGCTTCAGATCCCAAAATGCTGACTATTTACAATAGCTAGGACAGGGAAGCAACCTAGATGTTCACAGAAAGATGAATGGATAAAGAAGATATGGTACATATATACAATGGAATATTACTCAGCCATAAACAGGAATACATCTGAGTCTGTGGTAGTGAGGTGGATGAACCTAGAGCCTGTTATACAGAGTGAAGTAAGTCAGAAAGACAAAAACAAATATTGTATATTAACACATAAATATGGAATCTAGAAAAATGGTACTGATGAAAACTATTTGCAGGGAAGCAATGGAGATGCAGATGTAGAGAATAGACTTGTGGACCCAGCGAGGAAAGGAGCGGGTGGGACGAATGGGAAAAGTAACATTGACATGTATGTTCTACTATGTGTAAAACAGGTAACGAGTGGGAAGCTGCTGTATAGCACAGGGACACCAGTCTGGCACTATGTGATGACTGAGGGGGTGGAATGCGGGGAGGAGACAGAGGCTCAGGAGGGAGGCGACTTATGCACGGCCGATTCTTGTTGTTGTATGGCAGAAACTAACACAACATTGTAAAGCAATTTTCCTCCAATTTAAAAAAACAAAAAACAAAACCCTGCTGATATTAGAATAGAAAAACCACCAACCCTACCTGCCTGGTCCCAGGGCATGCCACCCTGCTCACTGTGGGCCCACGAGTCTCGCACTCCACTGCAGGAGACACCATTTTTCTCATGATGTTTATCTCCTCCTTCTAGGGCTTCTTATCTCCCTCACACCCTCAGTCCCTCTGCGCCCACCTCATTCTCCAGGGACATTGCTTTCTTTCTGGGACACAAGTTGCCTCAACTTCCCTCTTCTCATTAACATGTCTCCATACTTTTCTTCACTCCTGTTGAGGCTGGGTACTTCCAGCTCAAAGCCCTTCTTGCTTCTCCACTCCTCTTCTTGAATCTTTACTCTGCCCTACCCCACTGAGTCCTCTTCCTCAGTCTGCCCCACTTCCCATTCCCACTTCTATTTAAAAGACATAAGTGCCCAAACTTTAGACCTTTCACCCCTTCCCTTCCTTAAATGGACATGCATCCCAAAGCTCGGTTCATCCTCACTCTACATAAATGAAAAGGTTGTGACTTTGAAATCAGCTCGCTATGGATACTTCTTTTTCCCAAACTCTAGCTTCATATTCCCAACTGCCTGCTCAATGCAAACTTAAGTTCCATGAAATCTAACCCATTATGTCCCATGCTGAGTTTATCTTCCCTCCTAAATGTGCTCTTTCTCCATGTCTGTCTGTCTGTCACTCTGTTAAGGGTGTTATTATTCTCCTGATCACCCAGGCACTACATTTGTTAATTCTGACTCCATCTCTTACTGAACACCGAATCAAGTGATTTTGCACTCTACACCTTTTATTCATTCTCTTACTAATCTCACTCCAATAAAGTTGTTAGGACCTTATTACTATTTCTTTGGGATTACAGTCTTTCCCAAGTTATCTAATCTTCTGTGCTACAGCAAATGTCAAAGACTGCTTGACTGACAGGTTCCTTCAATCAAGCACTAGCCATTGTTCTTGAGAAAGGCAAGGCCAAACCAGGACCTTTGGCACGGGAAGGAAATTAAAAGTTGGGGCAAAAGTCTCGGGCACTGAATAGCTAGATGCAGAAGTCTGAAAGCTCCTTCTCCATGACTTGGGAAATAATTCCTACTTAAGAATAAGAAGGGATAACTTGGGAGAAACAGTTCCCTGTATTGAGTGTAATCACATTACCAGAAAATAAAGTGTTGAGGGCTAGGGAAGGCGCAGGGGCAGGGACACCTGATTACGCTCCAAGAACTGAGAAATACTATTAGACCGGCTCTGGTGCTTAAGAAACCTGGGCACAGTAAATACAGACTTGTGAGAGGCTCCTGGACAACATTTACCAGCCGCATCCCACCAAAGATGTAAATCTGCCAAGGCACAGGACAGGTGTAGCAATTATGTAGACAATACAGATCCATTCCTGCGTGTGAGCAACTCGCTTGACCTCTCTGGGCCTTCAGTAAAACAAGGGCATACCGCAATAATTATCTTACCTCCAATTCTTTGCAGTCAAGGAAATAAAAATCATGTAAGTCTACCTGGGCAAAACTGCCATGATGTTCAGAAATGACATGGGGAGCCAGGTTGGTTAGAAGAGACTGGAGATAGTGCAGGACAGGGGGACAAAATCAGGGAGCAGGCAACGAAGGGCAAACAGGACACAGCTCCTATTTACATGCCCACATTTACCTATTCAGCAAATATCTGTGTGCCCCCTGAGTGATAGGCATGGTTTAAAACTTGAAGATGCAGTGATGGGGGGGAGAGGGCCCTTGTTCCCAATAAACTTAGAGTGTTGAATAAGCAAGTGCAATCAACTATTTAATGAGTGCTATGGCACTTGAATCTATGTCAGTAAGAGCACTTTAGGAATGACACAAGTGACGGGGCTAAGGCAAACAGAATGAAATAAGTACAAAAGGTAAGTAGGAAAAATGCCCATTCTCAAGAATGGGAGTTCTATTATCAACTGGGAAGTGGACATTAACTCGAGAAGAAAATGTTCTGGCTCAGACCAGAGAACACTGGAGAACTGTGCTAGTGGTCAGTCAGTGAAACATAGAGTGGAGCTTTGAACTTTCTTTCAAGTTTTCTGGGGGGTGTGGTGGCTGACGCTTCAGGGATAGAGGGGAACTATGGTAGATGGAAAACCTCGCTCCTGATTTAGGATATAAAGTAGCAGAACTATCTGGAAGTACATTCCCTTCAGACTATTGGTCATAGTCTATCAACATGTCTGCAGTAGGAAGCCCAGATTTGTAACTAAATTCATCATAGCGGAATCCTGCTAGGTCCAGAAAGCACACTACTTAAGTGTCTGATCTACCTTTTCCATTAAGGTATCAGTCGGGGAGCAAGTGGGTAAAAATGATGCAAAGTCAGAATGTGAATGAATCTAGATTTCAAACCCAAAAGAGTGCCCTGAAAGGCTACATGAATGAGAAACAGGATCTAACTTCAACTGTAGCCTTGAGCATACTGAGACATCTGTGCAGGGGTAAAAGGAGCACTGTGGTGAACACGCTGACCAAAACGAGAGTTAAAATATGATTCAGTTCAGTTGCTCAGTCGTGTCCGACTCTGCGACCCCATGGACTGCAGCACACCAGGATTCCCTATCCATCACCAACTCCCGGAGCTTGCTCAAACTCATGTCCATTGAGTCGGTGATTGCATATAACCATCTCAACCTCTGTCATCTCCTTCTCCTCCCAGCATCAAGGTCTTTTCCAGTGAGTGAGTTCTTCACATCAGGTGGCCAAAGTATTGGAGTTT